ACATTTTATTAACTTCTGGAGAAAACGTTTTGCACCTACCTTTGAATACAAATAGTATAATGGTAGCATTTTTAAACTAGGGAACCAGGAGGGTAACTGGGATGAAAGTTGAAAAATGCCAAGTGTGTGTGGGCATATAATCCTGTTTTTAACCAGTGGAGTCCCCAAAAGCAAAAGTCAGATAAAACAATAAATTACAAATTGATACACCATCATTGTAAGTTGGTAGGCCTTTTGCGCAGTTAATTTTACAATCGATAACATTAGTCTTTAAGTCACATTTAAATGGGTTCAAAGAACTTCATAAACTAGTATCTCATTTTAAGCCAATCAGATTTGTAATCACCAAAATGCACAGATGCTGATGTTCTAAATAGGCTGATTAATTTACACAATAATCTTAAGAGAGTCTGGTACATTAAAGTAAAATTCATTACTGCACTTAATCTTTGTCTTTGGAAGTCTGCAGTTTTAACTGTATGCAACTATCCCTGTAAATCCTTTTCTTCTAATCGTGGTTGTTGAAAAACTGAATATGTGGAAGGGCCATAGAATATTTTATTATATAAATATTAACTTAATCAGTAAAAAAAGTTTTCTTTGAAAGAGAAGAAAATGGGTAGCAAATCACTTCAATTTGGATATATAAATATAAATATATTAGTGTTCCCTCTATCGTTATGAGTGCTAGCTATAATGAATTAATATGCATAATAGATAAGGGTAGAAGAGCAAATAAATCATTTCCATCACTCTTCCAAACGTGTCCAAGATCAGTCATCAAATGGTCATAAATGTATTAAATGAATTTAATATCTTGGAAGACCATTCCTATCTATAGGGCAAGAATCAGCACATATCAGCAAAAGTGCACATCAAAGTACTCTTAGCGAAGATGCCCAAAATCAAGTAAACAACCAAACAGGTTTCTGAGCACTGGTTCGATTACCCTAGGTAAAGAAACCTGCATATTTGAGGGAAATTATCTTGTTTGTTTTTTTAAATATCCTATCACTTTCAACAATTTGAAGATAAGCGTGTAAATTTAAAATTTTAAATATAAAAGGAGGTAAAATCAGGGTAAGCTCACATATTCGACCTATGACTTGCAGTTGCCAAGTTTGAGGGATGGTCTAAGACTCCCAAAGCAAATCCAGAATGACGTTTCACGCATTGTATCTCAAGGGAATCTTGTGCATTGGAAATCAATGTATAGTTTTCAGTTCGGCAGCCCATTTCATGAAATCTCTTCACAGCATCAACGAAGATACTCACTTGCCATCTGCTTCCTCGACTTTTAGCTTTCTCCACTGGATCAATTCCTTTAAACCTTGCCTTTCAGCGTTGCTATTGTAAGCCCCTTAGTTCAGGCGTCTCCAACCTTGGCAACTTTAAGCCTGGAGGACTTCAACTCCCAGAATTCCTCAACCAGCTTTGCTGGCTGGGAATTCTGGGAGTTGAAGTCCTCCAGGCTTAAAGTTGCCAAGGTTGGAGACCCCTGCTTTATTTTATCCCTGCCCTCTAAGCCTCAATCTTTTCCTGTATCGGCTCTGGCTCCAGACACCTCAACTGCCCCGTCTACCTTTAATTCACAAACGTCCCAAGAGCGCATAGTCTTTAGGCGCTACCGTTCGCTCTCTTTCTTACCGTTCCCTCCCCAAAAAAAGGCGACCGGAGAGAGAAAGAGTCAGCGTCCTTTTCCTCTGGACCATCCAGTTATGACAGGCAGCATCAATCAAATGTCGCAACCCCGATGCTCCTTTTTGCTATTTCGTTACGGAAAGGAGGCGAAAGCAATCAAACGCCGAATTTGAGATGTGATCCGGAGGGAAGCCCGAGCTACAGTTTAGGGCAGCGCGTTCTTCGGGAGTTACGAGGCGGATTAGATTCGCCTTGTATGGAATACAGAGGACGGCGAGGAGCCGTTCTGTACTCCGCGAAAGGGTAGGAAGGAATGGACTTTTAACGATTTAAAAAAAAAAACCCAAAACCAAAACACTTTCAGATGTAACAGGAGTTTGAATTTGGTTTAGAATCCAGGCTGTGCTCTTAAAAGAGCAAAATTTAATGTGACAGGCTAAAGTCTATTAATAAAGACATAAGGGTTTGGAAACTTTTCGTCGATAGAGGCATAGATAGATGCACAGGTAAGGATTTTATGGAGTTAGCCATGCAAAGGTAAAGCATGCAAACCATTCTCGGGTTAAAAATCCTAATTCCATACGAAGAAACGAAGGGAGTGGGTGGGGGAGTAGGAAATCCTTCATCAATTAAGCTAACAAGTGGCCCGTTTCTTCTTTAGTTTTCCAAAAGTGAATGTTCATGCAATTTTAGACTATATTTTCTGCAAAATCTCAATAAAAGTCGTCTAATTTTTATAGGGAAGGGAAAATAAATCCTCTGAGCAAAGACACATTGAGCACTTCCCTAATTCAATCCCATTTAATTAGAAGAGGCAAAGATTGATTAAACAACTGATAGCCCTTTGCTGTCTCAGATCAATTTAAAAGCTGGAAAAAGCAAATAGTAACAACCAATATGGCTTTCCTTTTCCTCAGTGTGGTGGGAATTCCATTTCAATATCCCTATTTTTAGTCCCATTCCAACCATTCCAGCCTGTTCTGGGTAGTTGCAGGCTTCACTATTTCTGGTGGCATGAGAGGAGCCGATGCACCTTCATCCTATGCGCCAAATAACTACATCTGCGTTATCATTCCAAATTCTCTAGGGAACCAAGGCCTTTGGTCTGCAAGAGGCAAATATCACTTATGCCAGACCTGGGCATTTTGTAGCCAAATGGCCAATTTGGCTCTTTGATTGTCCCTGTCCAGTCTGCAGTAGCTGTGACAAGTGGAGCAGCAGCAACCCTCCACAACAGTTCATTTCTCATGTGTCCGCTTGGGAAAATTGCCATCCCCTGAAAGTTGAGGGTGTCAAGCACACTTGTTGCCTGTTATATAAATCAACTGGAAGTTTACACTGATACCTGGGTGATATTTCAAGGTTTTTTTTTTATATCCATGCAGCAATATCTGTCACAAAACTAAAACTGAGGAAGTGTCCACTGACTTGACATACATCACCTCCACCATCATCTGCACTCCCATTCCAATTAGAAATTCCATAATTTACCTTGCTGCATGTGTAGGGTGGGGTATCAATTTGAATGTTTGTCAGAGTATTGTAGATAGGTAAATCCCCAATGTGGATGTTATAAGCCATAGGGTAGATAATAGCACTTTATACAGTGATATCCCTACAGTATCCCAGCCATACAAATGCAGATATGGGCCCTACAAATTCTTAAAGCTTCCTACAGATTATTACCATTAACTCTAGCCTGCTTCATCACATAATAGTCTTAACAAGTAGTAATGGAAGAAAAAAATATATCTCAGGTCACAAAATATACATAGCAACTTCATCCATGATTAAATCCTGATTTAGGTTTATCAACTGTTTATCTGACACTGAAGAGCAGACAATTAGACCAGAGGGGCCACCTTCACTATTTTGATTTCCGTAATAAAAGGTCAAAAAGGAATATCTATAAATGCCTGTCATCCCTTCTGTGATGATGATATTAAGAGTTTCATTATATTGTCCCCTACTGGTTATTATATCAATGACTGGTCTGAGGCTATTTTCCATTTCATATTCTTCTCAGCACATCTCTAAACACCAGCTACTGTCAGTAGATTCCTGCCTCATTATCCAGGAGTCTCTTGAAAGCAGTAACCATAGATAAACTAGCATACAGCAAAATATGTTGTCTTCTATTTTTGTCTTCTAATTTGGACAGTAAGGTTGCTCTCAGGTGAAAATGGATCATCATTCAGTTTGAGCTTGTTAGCTTACAATTTTCAATATTAGAGATGCTAGGAAACAATTTAAAGAGGGAAAGAAGGCCTATCTATTATTAAATAAATATTGAAACTGTGGGAAAGAATGTTGCTTCATGTACATTTCATCAAACATTTTATAATTTGCCATGCTTCCATAAACAATAGCATAAATAACACTTTAAGTGGTGTTTTTCATCTTGGTATGTGGACTCCCAAGTCCCAGAATTCTCAGCAGTGACAATGCTGTTCGGGGAGTTCAGAGAATTGAATTTTGCATATTTGGAAGTTAGCAACATTAAGAAACAGTTTATACTTAAGCAAGAGGAAGAATCAAGGGAATAACATTCTCTCATAATCTCTTGCTTTCTCTGCTTCACTGAGCTACAGAAATTTACAATTTGTGATACAGCAGTCCAGTTTAAAACACTTCTGTGTTCAAGATTTATTTTCTCTAGAAACTTTGAAAGATATCAGAGCCATCATTGTAACATTGAACACAACATTGAACACAAAGCTTCAGTTAAATGTGCCCATCTTTCATAAGGAAGGGAGGGAGGGTTATCTAGAAATATCTCCAGTCAAGACCCTCTCCTTGCTAATTTTCCCCAATAGGGAAAATAGGAATTCTTGTTATGCTTGAATCTAGCATTGGGATCTGCTAAAACATTCCCTGGGATGAAAAAGACTTTGGACAAGAAAAGCTGAAGACAGTCTAGATCTTAATAAAAAGGGTGAGCTGCTCAAATTCTTTAATCTTTCCCTTATTGAAATAAAAAGTTTTACAGAGACACCAGTCTGACTAAAGAAAAAAAGAAGGAACAGGCATAAAGATTAAAAACAGTTTACACGAGAATGCTCAGAAAAAGAGCATAGATTAGAAGTAGGTAGTTTGAAGTATAATCTTGATAATCAATTGTACTATATATGATTCCAAAACATAATCTTGCTACATACCGATGCATTAAACAAATCATTTTTTGAAAGCATATTTAGAGGTTTTGCCCTGAAGTACTTTATAACTTATTTTATGTTATTTATCCGACTTCACTTATTTTAATTTCATCACACTTTTCTACTTAAAAGCTACTAGGTGTCCTTTGCAATTTATTCCATTGTATCCAATATTCTGTAGCATTGGGTACCACCAAACAGTCATTTTAATTAAGCACAAATCAGACTTATGTTTATTAAAAAAATACTTTACAGGGGAAAAATTCTATGCATTCCATTGTACTTTTTTTTTTTTAAACAAATAGCTTTGACAGTGATACGCTTGTACAGTCACCTACCAAAAGAAATGCACTGTGTCAAAGGATTATTCACAGAGAGGGTTAAAATTTTCCCATCAGTTTACACTATTATAAAAACTTCTTTAAAACACTTGCTAAAATGTCAATAAATATACTAAGGCCACACAAAGCAAAAAACAAAAAACAAAAACAGTCTTCCAGGCAATTGTACATATCCTTTATATGCAAAGACCTTAGATTATTAAAACCACAGAAAAATATCTTAGCTGCCAATCAAAACTGAATTTAATCACAAAACACTACACAAATCTATTTTATACAACATGTAAAGATATTTGCTTAGACAGAATTGAAAGTGCTAGATTAAGAGAAGCCCCTTATCAACTACATGTGCTGTTGGGTCCTGAAAATATTATGTATATCAATGGAAGGCCATAACATTATTGGAAATTTGTTTATTGGACCAACATATAGTTTATCCACATTACAAAAATGTTCGGAGCTGAAGGATAAATATCCTTATTCATAGCAACCTTCAAGCACAACCAATATGGCTATAAATAGCATTTATAAGGAAATAAGAGTGCTATCCCACCAATAGTAAACACATTTAAAGTTCCACCAATTTCAATGGAGAATTAAGCAACTGCTTATCTTCCATTCAAAATAAATGGGACTTATAGGTGCTTAACTTTGGTTGGATTGTGCCACAAGTGAAGATAATTCACCACCCAGAATAAATTCAAGCATATGAATGGCAGCGGGGGGGGGGGGGGGGGAGGAGGGAAGTTATATGCATCTTGGGGCTCTGATATAACTTTCTTGTCTCTGGACAAATGTTATGCCCTCAAAAATAGGAAAACAGCTAATGAGCCCTTTTATTATATGGTAAAATCTGTAATGGAAGTATTCCTTAATTTCACATGAAACCTCCATATGTTCCATCTTCATGGAAGAGAACATGTCTATTATTTACATATTACTTCATGTTCAGAAATATGTGAGGGGGAATGTGAAATATTTAGTTCACTTAAATATTAATTTTGCTTTTATTGATTTGCTAAATGAATCAATAGCCCAATACAACCTTTCTTGAAAACATACTATTTTTCATTGGTATTTAAAAAGAAATAGATTTTTAGTAAAACAAAAGAAATTTTCCAGCTACCAACTTAAGAGCTGCTCAAGATCTTTAAATAAGAACCACCTTTGTGGATCTACTAATGGCATTTAAAAGATAGAATATAATGAATGCTTAACTAGTATTCAACAATTATATAGATTAGAAATGAATATGTTCCCAAATTGTCCACTACTTCTAATAAAATAAATGTAAAGATTTTTCTGCCTTTACTCTTCATTTGATTTTGTAACTATATAATGTCCACATATTTTGAAATTTATAAAATAAGATTTCCTGTCAGGTTTAAGTGAAATATCTTTGCAAAGCAACTAGGCATTAAAGTATCAATTACGCTGGCAAGATAATCATTTTTTGACTTCATCACATCAGCACAAATCATTCCCAACATCTTCCTGAGACATTAATTATCATCTCTTTTCTACTCCAAGAGCAAATATTATGTTCTCAAACAAAATCATTAAAACAAACCATTCTGCCACTCATTTTTTCAGGTCCATTTTGATTATTTTTCACTCAAGTATTTGTATTGGTCTTTCTTACTCTAGAATATATATGGATTACTATATCAGTTGTAGTGCTTTTTATCAACTGTTCCTATAAGAATCTTAACCACTGAGCCAGAGTGAGATGCAGGCACTCAGGCTTTCTGACTGAGCCTTCTTCCTACTCCTGAAAAAGCTTAAATTTTGAGGAGTTTTTAAGAAAAACAGTCTAGCAGTATGAGGTGAGCTACAGGCATAAAGAGAAATAAGCAGAGTCCTGGCAGATACACAAAAATTTATGCCCAGACTTCTTTGGTATTTGCTAGGGAATGCAGTAGTAATCATAATTCATACTTTTTAACTATTGTAAAGATGTGGCCAAAGTAATTACAGTAAAGACTATATGTATTATTAAATCAAAATAGGTGACAGAAAATATATTTGATGGTTGAAATGTAAATTGGTGAATATATTTATACATAATACCATAAAATTTTGACAGAAAACTCTTGAGTTGGAAAAATGTGGGATGCTGCTTCAGAATCATTTATTTAATCTTCTTAATCTTTCATGAATGGCAAAGGTCATGAATGTTCATTTCACATACTTTAGTAGATTGTTTCTTAATTTTAAAAAAGGCTTCTCTTGTAAGCCTATTGCTGTAATGTGATGCACACAAAAAACTCTTTAAGGTTATTGAACTGGATCTAGAACTATGCACAATGGAGTTCACACTGAAAAAAAAAAGGATATTGGTAATTTTTGCCAATACTTTTCCTCCAGTCCCCTAATGAAGAAGTGCTCTGGAGAGTTGGGAAACTTTTTTTCCTCTAGCTGAAAGCATTCTCTGAATCCTGGTTCCCTCTGCCAATAGAAAAACCTCATTCTGCTCTCAAAGGAGCAAGTTTAGATTCCAATTGCTATTTTCATCTTACTCTATGTCTTTTTCTAATGTCCATTACTAGATTGTAGAATTTGAAACAATTTTCAAATGTATATTTCAAAACAGGATAAGTGAAGTAATAAACAGTTTTTCATTCAATTATTTTTTAAATCCAACTCCTGAGTGATCATACAGTACACAGTGCAACTCAATGCAGTTGAAATATCCAAGTGACATGTCTGGAGTTGAATTTGTTATTTACATAACATTAACTGTGGGAAATTGATGTTTGGAAGACGAGGAAAATTAGTGGAAGAAAAATGCAAAAATGTGGAGTTGGTGAAACATAAATGAATTACTGAAGCCCATATTGTCTATGAAGAATTTTACTTAGGACAGCCAGCTACAGCTTTTGAAAATTCTTCTGGATAACTGTAAAAAAATGTAAAAAGCCAGAGTACACAGAGGTTTTCTGAACCAGTATTGGTCAATCTAGAATTTTTCATTAAAAGCTACACTCCTGTATAAGAACTCACTACCTTTTGTAAAAAGGTTTCAACCTAAACACCTTATTTACACAGATTACTTAGAAAGTCCCTACCACTTCAGTATGGAAATTCAATTTGTTGAAAATTGTCTACTTGTCTTTAGGACTGCACCAAAGTCAATACATAAACATGTATATATCAGGAGTAATACAAGTTCTATCTAAATACTGCAAAGTTTTCTGATTATTTTGCTATTTGTTTAAAACTGTGTCCTCTATACTGAGGTGCTAATATGCTTATAATCTACACAAAACAATATTGCACAAAGTAATTGCTATTACAAACATACGAATATTTGCATTTTCCCCACAACTGTTTTCTTGACTTGCATTGGTGTAGCGCTCCCATTCTCTCTTCTACATTAAAAAACAGATTTAAAAATACAAATAAATTTGATTAAATCGTGATAAAAGTTCAGATCCTACATGAGGGGCCCAATTTCATTTTACTATCCAAAACAAACATTGTTCTGTATATAATGAATAAAAGCTGAATCTACTTAATGCTGGGAAATATTGAAGGAATGCTAAATAATATAAGCCAATTATACTGAACATACTAACATGTGCTGTTTAATCTTCCAATATAGCATTAAGGAATCCAAGAATTACTTGCAAAAGTAGCAATCCATATGTGATTATGTGACAGTTTATTGTGAATCAGTTATATATAATTTCAAAGAATAAAGGAGATATAGACCTGCCCTATTATATTAAGTGCCGCAATGCGAAGGAGTTGATGGTTTCCCTCTAAGATGCCTACTGTGAATTAAACAAGCCACCAAGTTGGTTTAAATATTGTAAATCCTTAAAGTGCTCAAAGACAGCAGTTTCGTCAAAGAGACTGCTAACAATTACTTTCATTAGACACTAGTGTATTAAGTTATGCAGTTCGGAAAGATATTAAAAAAATATTCCAATATACATTAAAAGCAGAGGACCACGAAAGAGTTGTATCAGTAATTTCATTTCAACAAGATCATACACTCTGCAACTAATCTCATACATCAACTTCTTACTGAATGTCTTCTTAAGCAATTAAGGATTAATCTACACTGCTGGTAACTTGAGCTTCCTCCAGGCTTTCAAACTCTCTCACACATACAAATGTCATTGATCATTAAAAGTGCTGTGCTTTCTCTTTCATTCAAGCCATTAATTGAATGGGAGGGAGAGTCACTTTGTGAATCTGCCACAGAAACCATCCCTTTTATGCTGAAAGCTAAAGATAAAATAGATGAAAAGTTATCAGACTTATCAAGTGTTAAATACTTGATATTCCTGAAGGAAAACTATTGAGATGTTGAATTATTTACCTCATCCCTTAAAAAAAGAAATGCAAAAAGTTGTAGTCCACTACTACATGCTGTACTAAGGGAATAAAATACAACTCTAATTTTGCATAATCTGTGTAAAAAAGATACGCTTGACATTTTGGAATGTCACCTTTCTTTATAGAATTATAGGCAAGTTTTCTCCAATAAAACATAACCCAGTTATAAAACTATAACTTCACATCAAAATTTTAAAAAGCTGTTTAAAAATGTATGATTATGTACATATCAGACAAGAAAGAGTATATGATCCTTCTGTGGATTGTGTTGCTGATCTGAATCTAGTTTTAAAAGCTGGAAAGGGCAAACCAGTAATCTTGTTGCAGAATAAGTCATGACAGGGATGAAAACAGTGATGGTGATGCTACTGTCACAGTAGTCTGTACTTCTCTTTCTTCTTCAGTCTCTTTTTTCATAAGTACACATTGGTCTTCACCTTCCAGTTTCACCGTGTCCGTATTTGAAATGTTTTCCATACACTGAGAATCCTCTGCCGCAGGATAGTATTGTTTGAGCCTTATATGCCAAGCTAAACTGCAGACAGCTGACACTGTCTTGAACTGATGAATGACATTTCTAGGGATGAAGTAGATGTCATTGTCACATAGCTGGATTCTGGCATAACGAATCCCTTCTCGTCTCATTTGGTTTAGCTTAGCTTCGTCAACCCATTGAACACACTGAGGAGGGAAAAAGGTAACTATGAGTAAGATTTAAAAATTGTATTTTTTTGTGCTGTGTAAGTCATAAAGACTATTGGTTGTGATGAAGTCAACATGAAATCTAAATGACACATATTCCATGAGCCATGTACTGAAACTACTGCTATGCTAATAGATCAAAATAAAGGAAGTTACCATTCTAATAAGAGGCAATCCATCAAAAAATTTGGAGTGTTAATTATATTGAGGGGACCAAGTTAAAAAACTGTCAAAAACTTTAATCTTAAATTTAATCCAAGTATGACAATGCTTTTTTTGGCCTTTCTTATCACATCTAAGCATGTCTATAGAACCAGATATTCTGTTCAGAATTTACCTATATCTTGCTTTTTAAAACAGTTTAGAACAATACCACACAAATAAATAAAAATATCTTAAAGCATAGCAAAAATCTATTTAAAACAGCAAATATTTAAATATAAAATGTCTTCTAAAATTAACTTTTTAAAGCCCGGACCAAGCTTAAGAAATCTTGCTTCTACTATTCATACTAGTTCAATCTTTGCTGAAAAATAATGGACAAGTTTACGGATAAAAGTCCAGGCAAAACAACTGCTGGCTTCTTCTCTTGGAAAGAAAACAAGGAGGAAACTTTTTTAAAAAGAGGATGGGATAGTTTGAGGAGCTCTGTTTCTCTTTAAAGAAACGTTGCCTAATCTACCTCCCAACCCCCACTTATATATGCATTTCAATTATGTGTGTGTTATTCTGGAGACTTTGTTTCATAATCAAGGATCAACAGAAAACTTGCAGGAAAAAAAATAACAGCATTTTAACTGGAAACAATGTGTACAGCACAATAAAAGACTACCTGTGATACTGGAGGTTCATGCAGATCCAACTGAAGTCTTTGAACTACATCAGTGAAATCTTCAGCATGAAAACAAACAACATCTTTGGTTATACGAGGCTGGTCACTCCTGAAGAAATGAAGATTGTAAAAAGATGTTTGAAAATATTAATTAAACTTTGAAAATTCCATATATTCAATAGCAAAACAACATACCTTCTCTCTCATTTTGATAGTCAACCTCTAGGAAATGTTTCCTTTTTATCTATATATTAGGTGACATGTAAACTCATGTACATATAAAATACAATGTAATTTCCCTTCCTCTAAGATGGTTTGTTTATGTATTGTATTTTTATGCTACCATACTCCATTAGGATTGATGGTGACATACAGCAGTCTGATCAAGGAGGCACATCACCCCATCTTTCAAGGAAGGCAGCATTACCCATTTAGAAAAATGTCATACAATAGAGCCAATTCCATAATATAGAATGTCTGATACTGGCATATAGCTCCCCAGAGTCACACAAGTTTCTTCAGTCAAGTTCTTCTATCTGTCACTTTAAGCAGTGAGATCCCATTTGCAAGTGTACACTGATCATATTTCTTAACATAGCACCAGTTGTGATTTAATAGATCTGGAGGTCAAGGTTCGATATGGTAGTCTACATCTCTTTACACACATTGTCTACATCCTTAAAACTCAGAAATCAAAAAGAATCCCAAAAGACAGGATAATGTTTGCTAAGATTAAAAATTATATTCCTTGGATTTGCCCCAACAAGGGAGCCTGATTTAAGGGAGATCATGAACCAAAAAGTGATACAACTATGTGAATTGGTCACAGCAAACCACTGTCTAATCCAACTGTTACTCCCCATTACCAATTTAATAAAGGAGATGACTTACAAGTATTCAAAGAACAACAGCCTGTAATGTTGGAGTTTCATGGAGGCATATAATTAAATACTTTTTGCAGCTTCCATAGAATTGACTTTCTAATGGGCCTCATTTCAAGACTTCATCCCAAAATATGCCATCTCAAAATATCCTTCTACAAACAAGTCTACTGTACTATGAAAGCAATTCCTTTTGCATAAAAAAAACCCCATTCTGGGAATTTTCAGAGATTAGATTTTCCTGGTAATTTGGATTTTAAGAATTTATAGCAAAAATGCCTTGTAACAAAAACATTATAACGTAAGTTCTGTTAAAATCAACACATCTCTATTTTAAAATGCTATAAATCCCCGCTCTTACCATTCACCAAACTGCACAGCTTTTAAAACTCCAACAGCAGCTGTACTCTGCCAATCAAACCCTTGCCCAACATGATCAGCATGCGCTCTTGTTCTGTCTTCAAAGAGAACTTCACGGGGTTCACTGGTCCGAGGTAGATATTGGAGATTTTTTATTTCATTCATAGATCTATGAAATGGAATGAAAAAGAAGATAATTATTAAATTTATAAGGGAAATACAAAAAATGTCATAAAAACAGATAATCAGTTATCCTTTTTTACATCATTATGCAGGCACTACTTTGATAAGTGGTGATTTAACTCTAATGTAATCAAATGCAATATAAATTAAAATGGAAAACAATAAAAGATGGGACGCCTTAACAGTAAAAGGCCACTTTTAAAAAAGTTTATGCAGATGTTATATACCAGGGATTATTCTATGCACTATTAGGAGGCCTTTTGAAAGAAAAATGCAGCAGATAACTTCAACTTTTTCACAGTTTAAATATAATACACAGACAACAAATGCTTACATCGCAGAAATTCAATGAACTTAAAAGTTGGCAGTGTGCAGCCTTCCAGAACCTTCACCAGGACTGATGCAAATTGGGAGTTCAAAGGCCCCAGGGGAACCCACACTAGAATGCTATGCACAGTGCCTTGAGCTCCTGAAGTAAAGACAGGATATCAAACTAACTAATAATGTAACAATGTGCAGCTTTGACACAGTCTTCACTGTCTTGCTCTTTGCAACACTAATGATTTCATACAGTTCAATATCATTTTAATGTTTTACCATCTACAGAAACAATATAGCAGTATGACAATATGACAGTAGCTATAAGTACCTGAATGGAAATATATTTTAAATCAAATAAAGTTTATATTAGGTGCACTGAACTGGAAGCTGTTGTTTTAATTTATGTAGATATTCCATCAATATTTATTGCATTCCCTAACATAAACTTGCATCCTGGGAGTTTATGATGCAATATATGATACTGACAGAGGGGAAAGGAATGGCAGCACTACAAAAAAATATGTACAAAATTATCATGACTTAAGCTATATTGGAAGGAAAGTTTATTATTACCGTGTTTCCTTGAAAATAAGACCCTGTCTTATATTTTTTTGAACCCCGAAATAAGTGCTTGGCCTTATTTTCGGGGAGGTCTTATTATTTTGGGACACGTGGAGCAAGAGGGTGCTCCTCTTGCCGTCTTACCTGATTTCCAGCTCTGCATTTAAATATTTTTGGGGAGGGCTTATTTTTGGGGGGAGGCTTATTTTAACGTATGCTCTCAAAAGCCCGATTGGGCTTATTATCAGGGGATGTCTTATTTTCAGGAAAACAGGGTACATATATATTAACTAAGTTTCAGAAAGTTGTCAGAATAATAAACTGATGAGATGTTCAGTTAAAATTCAGAGGTACAAATTCCCTCCCAGCTATAAAGATTACCTGCGCCTTTTGAATGGTGACTTTGGCATATCAGCTGTTGGGATCATCTGTTCACCAGGTCTTACCCACATAATGGGCCCATCATCACTTTGTGACCTACACTGAAGTCTGAGACTCGAAAGAGTACCCCAAGGCAAAGTCATCTGTATATCACAAAAGAAAACTAGTCAGATAGCAACATGAAGTGTTTTGGACATCTTATAAACAGATGATCAATTTCTTTATTAAAATATAATTTGTACAGTCATTAAGGATTTTTTGTTTTCAGTATAATTTATTTCATTCTGTCATGCAATAAAATTAGACAAAAATCACAAATTTTAACTAATGTTAGCACTGAATTGGTGGTAGAATAAAAAGTGATAAAGCATTATTAAACATTAAGAGAATATTTAACAATTCTCTTAATGTTTAATAATGCCTTATCACTTTTTATTCTACCACCAATTCAGTGCTAACATTAGTTAAAACTTAAATCAGCAAAAGAAGAAGCAAAACTTTAGTACTTACTCTAAGAAATGGAGATTCTTCTAACATATCAAGAAATTCTGGAAAATAATCTCCAACTTCTTCATCTACTGCTCCAACAAGACTGATCTGCCTCATCGGACCTGCTCTGTAAGTTCCACAGCAGTACGTTCGACTGACCTTATAGAGAAAAAAATAAAACTGTTTTATCCCACAGCATTAAAGTAATCTATAAATTTCCTGTGAAGTCAAGAATATTGGCACTGTTCATACAGAACATACAAATATCTGAGCTTGAAATTCCCCTCTCCTCTTATGTTATGAATTGGGGTTCAGGGGTACCACGGACCGTGAACCTGCTCATGAGCAAACACACTAGGACTGAAATAAATCTGACAGAGGCATCTTGTGTAAAAATATAATTTACTTTAAAACATTTAAAAAGCACTATGTCTTTAAAAAAAGCACATTAGTAACAAAGTCTTATCTTGGTTATGTGAAGCCAGGCTATCTCCCTAGATTCCTCTCCACAATACCGAAACAGTTCACAAGAGAAAAAGGTTAACATGACAATAAGCAGCTTCAGTGTCGATACATCATCGAGGTAGTAGAAGGGCGGCAGCATAAACTTCACAGCTAAGGAAGTCACCTGAAGAAAAAACAATTTCAATCAGCAAACGTAGCTTGAAGCTTGTGGGAGGAAGAATGTCCAGCAGCAGCAGTTCTGATGATGGCTTGCGTGCTTCATAACAGCAAAAGGCAAGCATCCATAGGAGCATCTCTGCAACAGCATCTGGAGTCCTTATCTGTGTTCTTCTCCCTTCTGTAATGTTGCACTGAGCTCTGCATCCAGTTTCCAGCAGGAGCTCTGCATCTAGGCCTAAACAGTGTTTAGACCCGAATAGCAAGCGAAAAGGTCCTTGCTTATATGGGGAGTTAACCTGCAATTAACTAGGGCGGGGGAAGGCTTGCAGGTAATTGCAAACAGGAGATGGCTTGATTGAAACCATGCTGTTTGTGACTGATCAAGTAGCCACAGCAATCCTGAAAACACTCGTGACATCTTATTCACAGGTAAATTGCACAGAAGAGTGCAATAAATACAAACATTACTTTCCTTAATCAAAGAATAAGGATAGTATCCTATGTTTCAGGATGGTGCAATGAAAGATCAGCCTAATAGTAATATAGCAATTAGAATAATAATTTTTAAACTATTGTTAAGGCTCATAAACTATGTCTATGTGTAAAAAACCTTTAAAATCTGTGAAAAACTGAATAACTAGATATTCTTAAAGAAGCCAAACAACTAAACCAGGGGTCTGCAATCTTAAACACTCAAAGAGCCATTTGGACCTGTTTCCCACAGAAAAGAAATCACCAGGGTGGGTGTGTCCAACTCGACATCACTCACTCCCACCCAGTCACATGACCCCCCCCCCCCAGCCACGCTTACCCAGATTTTGTGGCTCCTAGTGTTTTCTGTGGGAAACAGGTCTCTCTCTCTCACCCTCTTTCTCCCTCCCTCATCTCCCTATCTCCCTCCCCCTCCCTATCTCTCTCTCTCCCTCCCTCCCTCTCTCCCTCCCCCTCCCTATCTCCCTCTCTCTCTCTCTCCCTCTCTCCCCCTTTCTCCCTCCCTCATCTCCCTATCTCCCTCCCTCCCTCTCTCCCTCCCCCTCCCTATCTCCCTCTCTCTCTCTCCCTCTCTCTCCCTCCCTATCTATCTCCCTCCCCCTATCTCCCTCCCTCTCTCTCTCTCCCGCCCTCCCTCCCTCCCTATCTCCCTCCCCCTCCCTATCTCCCTCTCCTTCCCTCCCTCCCTCTCTCTCTCTCTGTCTCATGTGCGTGCGTGTGTGTGTGTGTATGTGTGTGTGTGTTCCCTCTTGAACCACTTCCAAAAACAGAAGAGGGTTGGTGGGGTTTTTTTTGCCGATGTTGTTTTTTCTTCTTCTTTGGGTGCTCTTTACCATATTAAAATCAAAAGTCATTTCGGGTTCCCAGATAAATGAAGCTCTTTCATCCCCCTGCTGTGGCTCGGTCGGCTGAACCCACCACTGGCTGGCCTGCCCCTCACCCTCTCCTCCCAGTCACTCCTTGCCTGGCCTGAGAAGGTAAGGATGACGGCGAGAGATGGAAACTTGCTCCATATTCCAGAGGAGAGCAAAGTGCCCCTGTACTTGCCATAACTTGCAGGTACTTCTTCCAGCCCTTATTGGTCCTGTGCACACCTTGGTCACTCAGGGAGACACATGACTTGCTCTCCACTCCAAGACACTGGCTCAGCCTGTCTGCTGCCGACACCGTTGCTGTTGCCACCTCTAAAGCCTGCCCACTGCTCTCATGGCGCCTTGCGCAGCACAGTTAAATTTAGCGTGCTTCACAATTGGGAAGAGGGTGTCCACTCCTCCTCCTGGAGTCCATTCTGATGCAGAGCATCGGCCACAACCGGACTGGGCCAGAGTCTCAGGGTAGAGACAAGTCGTGCATCTCCCCGAGTGACCAAAGTACACGCAGCACCAACAAGGGCCAGAAGAAGCACCTCTGAGATATGGCAAGTAAAGGGGTGCTTTGTTCCCGCTCTGGAATATGGAGCGAGTCTCCATCCCCCGCTGTCGCCCTTACCTTCTCAGGCCAGGCGAGGAGTGACTGGGAGGAGAGAGTGAGGGGCAGGCCAGCCAGTGGTGGGTTCAGTCGACAGGGAGCGACAGCAGGGGGACAAAAGAACGACATGCAGCTCCGGAGCCATAGGTTGCAGACACCCAAACTAAACTAAACAACCAGCAGAACTGTTTTATGGTAAACTGACAAGAAATACACAGAACAGACGCTCAAATTGAAACATCTACTACTTTGGAAAAAAATAGAGGTAAATACACCCAACTGAAAGCATACATGCGAGATGTTTCCTCATCTCCAGTGAGTTAGTATAACAGCATGCAATAATAAAGTACTAAGTGAGATAGAGATATTTTCTTATTCACCAATTCCACAATTAAACAATAATTCAAAGTCTATAATTCTTCCCTTGCCAAGAAATCCACAAGGGTCTATCGGGGTGGGGGGGGGATTTTCCATACATCATTAACTAGAATTATTGTATTTTTCACACTATAAGACACACCAGACCATAAGACACACATTAGCTTTAGAGGAGGAAAACAAGAAAAAAAAATCTGCCTCTGCCTCCTAGCATCCATCCGGTATTCATCTGGTTAGTGTCCTTGCAGCAAACAGCCTGGACAGCCTCAGCACATTATCGCAGCCCCAGCACGTGGCTCGTCAGGGCGCCACTCAGTTGCCCCTACCACTGGTCAACTGAACTGAGCTGCTGCCACCACCAGAGAACATTGGAGCCTTCACTGCTGAGCAGCTGATTAGTGGTTGGATCGGCCTCCTGGAATACCGCCGATCAGCTGTTCTAGGCAGCAGGAATCACCACCGCTGATCGCCACTGCCATGATTGGTGCCTAGAAGAGCTGATCAGTGATATTCCGGGAAGCCGATCCAACTGCCAATCAGCTGCTCCGCAGTGAAGGCTCTAGCATTCCCTGGCAGCGGCAAACAGCAGCAGTGGTGACAGGCGGCGCCACCACCGCCGCACCAACCCCTCTCCCCCTGCCGCAATATTCACTCTATAAGATGCACAGACATTTCCACCCACTTTTGGGGGGAGAAGTGAGTCTTAGAGTGCGAAAAATATAGTATGTCAAGTACCCACAGGAAATAGGCAGTTACATGTTTGTTAAAAGCTAGTCTAGTTCATAAACATCAAGGAACATGACTGATTTATATATCAGCAGTTCAGTTTAAAATATGTTATGCCAATTGTATATAATTTTTTCAGAAAAGAAAGAAAAATTTAAATTTCATAATAACTGGATTTCATCCCTATTTTTAAATGCTACATGTAATATTTTACATTACATGTTTCATATGGTTCAATAATGATATTGTTTAATGCATATGTACCTAGTTATATACAGAATTTTTTACTTTTCCTCAAAGAATCCCTATTTGCCAGGAAGTAAGTTGAAACTGACAAAAACAAATGGCATCTACCATTCTTGATTCCAAAGTCCGTAAAAAATAGTTTGCGTTATGGACATATTCTTATAATAAAATTAATGAAATAATTGCTATCCCTTAGAAATTAAAAGACATTATTAGATTTTAGTGAACTCTCAAGTAGACTATTTAATTAGTAACACAGGTGCCTTCAATCTCATAATCAGTGACTCAGCCTATTTCAATGGAGAAAAGTATTTACTCAAGTTTTTTGTGTCACTGTGCACAGCGTAGTTAACATAGAAAACAAAGGAAAGCAGAAAGGAAATGAAAAAGCCAAGTGCACTAAAGATAAAGACTGCAAAACAATCTCTAAAGAGTTTCATGTTCTTCTGACTTGTTAATAGTATCAAGTTTATTTTAGTTTAATTTTATCAAGTTTAAGGTTCATGGGATTGAAGCCAACCAACCACCTTGAATGTAGCTGCAAGGGGAACATTGACTTAGACTGATCAGAAGGATTGTATAAAATGGTGGAGAAAGAATCAGGAAAACTTCAAAACAGATCACAGCTGATCTCCAAGAGCAAGGTGCAACAATATCAAGTCAAACCATCACTGAAAGATGACTGAAAGTGGCCTCCATGGTAGAAAATCCATGAAGTGTCCACTTCTGAAAGACAGAGACAAAAACAGCAGACTATAGTTTGATAAATTGCAGGTTGAAAGCCACAAGTTTGTTTGGAAGAATTTTCCAGAAGATGAAACAAAATTAGAGCTTTTTGTAAATCAGCAACTCTATATTCATTGAAGAAAAAAAATGATACTCTTAAAGAAAAAATTGCTGGTTGAGAAATACATGTCTTATTCAGAGCTACAGAAAGTACTTGATTACAGATGTTATTTCAAAAAGGTATACTATGCAATATTGAGTTAGGTCTCACTAATTACATCCATGTCATTTTCATTTGTTTTATTATTTGCAAGAAAATATATAGTCATCCATCAAAGGCAAAGTATCTGCTCTATGGACTAGAGATTTCAACATGTTCCATGATTAACTGGGATCCTCTGAAAAAAGGTGGAGGAATACCAAATACTTTTGACTGTGTCTGTAAATGTCAAATGAATATTTAGACTCTAGTAGTTTCTTATTAAAGTGAATAAGGAATAGATAGATTCCTAATCTCCAACTCCAAGTACATCCTTCTCTTTTGCTTGGGTAAGTAGCTGTCAATATATCTTCACAACTGACATGAAGCAATTGCATTTTCTATTTGAGGGCAAAAATAATCTCTAAAAAACTCTAGGCCTTTGATATTTCAATCTGAAAGTTGGATTTCAGAGCAGAAGATAAAAAACAAACCTAATAAAAATTCTAGTCCATGCGATAAGGCATACAGCTCAGATTCTTCTGCATGTTATTAATAAAAAAAGCCTACTTACCCACAAAGTTAAAAAATTACTGCATATTAATTTGGCCAAAAATCCTTCCTCTTAATAAAACTGCCCTGTACTTTATGATTCTGTACAGGAGCATCCAGGAACAATGCATGGGTATGGTGACTGGAGATGGTAGATATTGGTGGGATGTTTTGAAGTGTCAACCAGCTTCATCATGTTTTTTTCTTTTTATTCTTTACTTTGGGGGTGGTGGTATTGTTTCTTTTATTTTTATTGTATTGTGGGCCATCCAAAATCATTTGAAGTTGGGCAACACTACATTTAATGAAATAATATATGAAAGCCATGAAGATAATGCCCTCCCTAACCTCTTCCACAAACCAATGAAGGTAAAAGAATGTAGGATTTGGTGGGGGTAGGGGGCAGAAAGGATAGTCTGAGCACCATTATTTTTCTTCTGTAAAATTTTTCTATACCTTTTGAGAGTAATTTGTTTTCCACCATTTAGGACTTAAATCTAATTTCTATTTTATACTAAGTACAACTAGCTGTTTGCTCTTGGAAACTAGGACATTCTCATCAGCCATTTTTAACAATGCAATCCTTATGGTTGTGATGGCACCAAAAGGCTCAAATTATCAGTAAAGGCTTACTATATCTAGGTCTTAAAATTCAAAAATAATGCTTTTCTTATAGAGGCATAGTCTGGAGGGGAACAATGGAATGTGAAATGTGTGAAGGTAATATTGAACTGTATTTGACACACAGCGTGCAAAGGCAATTGGAGATGGCAAATATAACTAACAGAAAGCATTCTGAATTTCAGCTTTCTGGGTAATATTACTTACAGTCATCAACACGAGATTCAAATTAGAATTCAGGCATGCCAGGGAAATTTCTCTTACCTGAGTGTGAAAGTTTGAAATGGTGGTTGTTTCAATGTCTTTTTTGCCAAGGATTTCCATTTTCACTGGAGTGCTAGGGAAATTGAAAGCAAAGTAATCCAAGAAGTCTGGCAAGTATGCAGCTGCCCCATGAACTATCGCTAGAGCATAATAAGCTGCATTTTTCTCATTTTCACTGAATGTCAAAGCAAGAAACTCTTCTGCAAATCTCTCCATCTCCACTGGAGACAAAAATGAGAGTTCATCCATATAGGCATGAAGAACTAGAGCTCCTCCATTTGATTGATGTTCTTCATGAATAAAATTACTAAATTTAGTGCCTGTTTTTAAGAAGCTGTTGCGAACAGAATGCTCTTGGTGGGTAGTAAATGGAGACTGCACCCCCTGGGGTATCCTATATTCCTCCATGCCCACATTCAACTGACACAGCTGTTCGTCTTTTAGATACCTAAAAGATTCCTTGTTCTCTTCCAAATTATCACTCTCCTCTGGAGTCAAAGTCTCTTTGCTGATACGGGTAAGACCAGCACACATTGTCTGTACTTCTTTGTTGTACATTTTCAGATGCCTCCCTCTCATGTCTTCTCTGTGTTTCTTTTTCTTCTTCTTCTTTATTTTCTTTACAATAAGACTGTCAGATCTTTCTGTCTTGCCATTTTCATCTCGGGTTTCTAAAAGTAGTAAGAAAATAAGATATTTATGTTGCAAAAGAGTTATATTTAATAAAAGTATGTATTTTTTCAATAATGCACCAATACTTTACTAAAATGTTAATATAAAGGTTTACTTTTAAAAATTAGCTGCTGTTATATAAGAAAATGCTTTTTATTTTTACATACTTGTACGTACGTACGTACGTACGTACATACATACATACATACATGCCGTATTTTTCGGAGTATAAGATGCACCTTTTTACCCCCCAAAAGAGGGTGAAAATTTAGGTGCGTCTTATACACCGAATGTAGCCCTGCCCACCCACTGGCCCCCACCCTCTGGCCTCTGCCTCGCAGCAATTTACCTCCTTGCAAGCAAACAGCAAGAAAAAACAGCTCCTTTCAGCTGCAACATAGGCTAATTAGCACAAGTTGATTAGATTGGCCTCCTGACTCTCAGCCGATTTGCTCTCAGTTGTTCTGTGCAGGGCTCTGCTGCTTGCTGCAAAGAGTGCTGGATCAGATTTTTTTTTCCCCTTGGGCTAATCAAGCTACGCTGAAAACAAAACTGAAAGTAAAGCAGGCTGTTTGCTGCAAGGAAAAGTTAGGCAGAGGCAGACAGAGATTTCTTTTTCTTCTTTTTCCTCACTAAAAAAGGTAGGTGCAAACTGGGAAATTTAGGGCAAAAGAGGAGAGTTCAAGATTTTAAAACACAAAAGAAAAAAAGGAGAAAGAAAAAGGCAAAAATAAAAAGGGAAAGGGAGAAAAAGAATAAGAAATGAAAGAGAGAGATGTTATACATATTTAGAATTGAAATATGAATAGTAGTAAGAAATAAATGGGATTTATTTATTTAGCGTATGGTTGGTCTCACACACAGTATTAAAACACTTCATTATTAAATGAATGGGAAATCATGATTGTAAAAATGAAATGAATAATAATTGGAATATTTGTCTTTGTATTTTTGAAATCTAGACAATGATAAGTTTTTATTTTTTTATTTTTTTTAGAAATATGAATAAGTATAAACTAACAATTGAAATACCTTTAATGGTATATGGGGGTGAAAGTAAAAAGGATTAAATTGTAGCTTGGATAACAGCTAGAACATTTTTAAATTTAATTAGGGAAATTGTAATGATTGAAATATTTTTAATTATATATTGTGATGAAAATAGAAATGATTAAGTTGTGATTTGGAGGATTATATGGGCAAAACTATTTGGGTTATTGGGAGAGTTTAAGATGTGAAAATGAGTAACATAAGGGGAAAGTTCTATTTAACTAGGGAATTGTAATAATTGAGATATTATTAATTATATATTGTGTTGTAAGCAGAAATGATTAAGTTGTGGTTTGGAGGAATATATGGGGAAAATTATTTGGTTTATAATTATTGGTAAATATAATTAATTGATTTGTAAGAAATTGGATGGCATGGAAATAATTCATGTTCATATTGATTAATATACAAAAAAGATAGTTATATAACTAATTTATTTATACTAAAATGTTGAATTTGTATTAAACAACTGTAATATTTCATAATTAACCAATGTGAGGATGGATATAAAAATAGATGACAATGGGAAGGGGTATAATATAGAATAGAAGGGAAAAATTGAATTTGATTAAGATTAGAGATGAGGATGAAGGGTAATATTGGTTTTTTAAAAAAATAGATGAGGAATAAATATGACAAAAAGGAAATATAGAAATTGTAAATTTAATTGAAATGACTAAACACTGTTTAAATTTGTGAACTGGCCAAATACTCTGTTTAAAAAAAATACATTGTATGTTTGTATGTATGTCTAAAAAATAAAAAAAGCTTTTTATTAAAAAAACAAAACAAAAAAGGTAGGTGCGTCTTATACTCTGGTGCGTCTTATACTCCGCAAAATACAGTACATAATACATAAATATGTACTAGCCATTTCTATAACAACAAACATATCTAATCAGCAAAACCCAAAGTCAAAGTTTCATTTTTTTCCATCTCAAGCATAAAATCCAGAAGTGGTTTATCAGCAGAAACAAAGTTGAATGTATTTTTTTCTTGGATTAAAGCAGTTAATTTAGCCTGTTATTTCCATTAGCTTTCCAACCATGCACCCATTGTGAAAATTAAAGTATCTCTTTTGCGTATAAAGTATTTGTTAGGAATATGACTATTACCTAACTTGTTGGGTTGGCAATATATAAACCATCAATGTATGTTTGCAGTGTATTGTATTGTATTGTATTATATTGTATTGTATAGCTTTAAGACTGCTATATTGCATCATACTGTGTCCTGATTGGTTAGCTTTGTTGCCAATCTCCTTAAGAGGGAGCTAGAAACATGGCTTGTTCTCTTTGGTGTTCTTGCTCTCTGATATCTCTATCTGACTTACTGTATTACTGTTTGCAACTCCAGAAGAACTGTTTACTGTGTATGATTAATACGACTGGTATGAAGACTTTGTTTATTGGACTGTGCTTTATTTTTCCTGAATGTAAACTATAACACGACTCAGTGTACCAGTGTGGTGACTATGCTTATTCATAACTATTCAATCGCTTTCATGTGCACACCCTTGCTACTCAAGGGTTATTCCTTAACAGCATTCTTGTTGCTGTTCACATATCTAACAGCAAAGTTCCAGATTTTTTTCCAAGTTCTTTCCAACCAACAGTCCTTGGCTGACAGGACTAGCAATATGCCAAACCATGACCAAACTGGATGGGTAAAAACAACTGGGAGAAGATAGTTCCTAAGATAACATTGTCCCAAGCCATGAAGGGCTTTAAAGTAATAACCAGCATCTTGAATTGCACCTGGCAACATACTGGCAATCAACTTACTTCTAGTGATAGAAGTACTGATACTTATAAAATATCTCTATCTCAATTCTGTCATTAATATGTTTTCTCTGAAAAAACACACACAAAACAAAATTGTATAGCAATAGCAGTTTGAACAAAACCTCTTAAAGGCCTTATGTGTAAATTCCAATAACTTTCCTGCTCAAGATTCTATTTCGCCATAGACTTAAATGACACCTGTGTTGATACTGTCAACTGAATTTCAAATGAAATGATATAATGCTCTCTGAATCGTTCAACTACAGTTCCCTTAGTCTCTGACACTTAGTAGAATAAGCAATTTCTATTTGGCATTATATAATCATATTAGTATGAAAATAATATTAGTAACCCTTAAATAATTGAGTTACTGTTGTAGAGACAGGATGGGAAAACTCATACAAAAATCAGGCCATCTCACAAAAGTAATTTATTTAATGACCTTACAATAAACTCTGACTCAATTAATTAAAAACCTATCCTAGTCCTGCAATTTATTCCTCACTGAAGCCAACCAAATGCTTCTTAGATACTCTGATGCTGAAGGTAGAAAGGTTATTCCTCTCCCACCACTGTTTCTCTACAGCAGATATTCATGAGTATGTCGCCCACAATCCAGAGGTAACACTAAGCTTTCAAATAAAAGCCCTCCAGTCTCTAAAACCACGTCCCCCTGGTATGTGAAAAAAGGTTGGGGGCTGCTGTTTTTCATACCTTAAGTCAGCATCTTCATTGAAACATTTACCATCAGCCCAAAATCTTTTTCCTAATTATAGAAAGTTCAGATATAAAAATTGGGAGGTATAGCCCCTGTCAATTGCTTTGCATTTACTGAAGTTGAAGCCCATTTCCCACTAAATTACCCAGTTCAAAGGTATCCTTCTGGAGCTCTTCACAATTGGTTTTAGTGTTACCACCCTCACAAGTTCAGTTGCTGTAACAACTTGGCCAACTCACAACCTACCAGTAAGTTAAGGTCAGTTATCAGCAAGATAAAAAAATCATTTCCCAGCATATACTGCTAACATACACCATTCCTCGATTCTCTTCTTTGGAAAAATTATTTTTTATTTCATAACTAGTTAGCAATTCACAAAGGATAGGTTTTCTACTAAAAGTACTCAAGAGCTTTCAATGAAGAATATTGTACACTTGAATTCTCAAACATTTGACAGGGCCAATGGAATCACTGCCATCCATGTATTTAGTGACATTCAAACTGTATGAATGTGGTAAGGAAAACTACTTTTACAGAATCTTGCTTTTGTTGTTCTTTAATTATAAATCTTAGTATTTTGTAAAAATTTGTCAGCTCCAGTTATTAACTGTGCACCTTTATCTTGGCACAATTGGAATTTACTATCCAAATAAATCTTTTCTATTTTTGCCTTGATGACATTTGTGCATAGTGTTTGTTCTTGGGCAACAAAAGCATTTTGCTGTTTCCATTTTTAGCACATCATTCTTAAGCCACTACCATATTCTGTAATTTCCTTCAATATCCTTCAAAAAATGCCCACAGGGTGCTTCTGTTTTCCACATCCCTAATGCCATTTCAAGCTGTTTGTTTATAAAGTTATGCTCTTACATTTAATTTTTACGAATACCTCTTTTTTCTGAGATTTGTTTAATAAAAGTTTATTTACTTGTTTCAAAACAATATAAAGGCCTCATTTTTCTTTTCTCCAAAGTTTATCTGTAAAGTTCTCACCCAACCTCTTCTTTGGAAGACATCATCTATTAACAACACTGTGAGGATGTAGGGCAGTACTCATAATCATCAATCTTCTGATTTGCTGATCAGTTATCAACCAATAACTGAGTAATAATACTCAGTCCAATTGAGTATTCCTGCACTATATTGAGTTATCAGTATTGCCCATGAGCTGATGGCTCTGATTGTACTTCCACCATTTAGGCTAAATTTTAGAATTTTTAATATTTGTTTGCAATTTACTGAGTCTATTTTTCCTTTTACTAGAGTTGGGTGCACAAAATACCTGATGTTTCCAAGATCCCCAAATTTAAGCTTGTCCAGCTGCTAGACTGTTGTTTCCTTTATGATCTGAATACTTTTTTGTGAATTATTGATTTTTTTCTTTTCTTCAATTATAACAAATTTAAGAAATTATATCACTATTACATATCTGAACATCATTAGGTAATTATTCCTGTTCATCTTTTGATTGCATTGATATGTAAAGAGAGACTTTTAGATGTTGTTTGAAAACAGATAGCCATGATTTGCCATATTCAGCATCCTTGGCAATAGGCCCATCACTAAATTAAATAAAGGTGAAAACTGAGCACTTGAGGCTAATTTGGTCAAAGAAAATTTCAGTCAGCTGAGGCAGCAGAAGACAAGGTTCAGGTTCTACTGTTTTCCCGAAAGCATGCTGAGTTGGGCACAGAGCAGAACAGAAGAATTCTGTAAGTCTTCTTGTATGACAAGGGCATGGTTCATTTAAGTCTTTGCTGTCCAGCTGTTCTCCACTGGGAACTATCACTCTATTTGCTGGAGTTCTATGCTTTGCCTGTTGAACCTGTTCCTTAAAAAAAAAAAACCTGTTCCTTGGAACATGACCCAATTTTGGACTCTTGAACTTCTAGAGTATGACCTGACTATGCTTCTGTCCCCAGCCTTGGACTCCAGCCATTTGGAAGTCTCTGTAGGCAAGCTGGTATGGATTTGGGGCTTTGCTACTTTGTGTGTGCATTTACACATACGCCCTGTTGGCCACTTCCTATATTTATTAAATCCTAGGTTTTAAATTCTCCTTGCAACCACTTGGGGCATACATGTCTGATCAGACAATAATGAATCACCTTGAAAGATCCCCCTTTTTGACTCCACAAAATTGATCATTATTTACAATTAATTTTGTAACTGCGTTTTCAACTTTTCCATGCTTTTGTTTCTACAAAATCTTAAATTCTGATTGATACAAAAAACGTGCATACTTTTCATAATGTAGCCATTTGAAAGAAGTCAAATGCCTTCTTGTAATCAATCCAAGCAATACATAAATTCATTTTTTCATTCAATTATTTAGGATTGTTTTATTAATAAAGAACAATTTTTGACTCGTGAATTTTTCAATTTCCTTTTTGTTCAATTGGGTAGTGAGAAATTTCCTTTACATAAACATATAGTGAATTCACTATTATTCCAGTAAGCATTTTGAATGTGGTAGGCAAACAAGTTATTGATCTTTAGTTTTCAGATATGAATTCTTCTTTTATTAAAAAGTTTCTTTCAGATTCATCCAGGCTTCATTTGTTCCATTCTTTACTGCAACATGAAACTGATCAGGTAACTGTGCAGGTTTGCTAACCGAGCAGCTACCTGGCTAGACATTGACATTAAAATCTATCCAACACATCAGTCCCAGATATATTTGTTGTTTTCTCTTACTGCTTCTAACTACCATGTTTCCCTGAAAATAAGACAGGGTCTTATTTTCTTTTGAACCCCGAAATAAGGGGTTGGCCTTATTATCAGGCGGGGGTCTTATTATGGGGATGCAAGAGGCCCTGGGTGGCCTGCGCACTCACAGCCAGGAGTCTGGCAGAGAGAGGCTCCCTTTGCGCACCGCCATCAAGCCCCTCCCCTCCCACAGGGTGTGAACGTGAGCAGCCAGAAGGCACCATACCGCACAAGTGCTTGTCTGCCCCCCCCCCCAACTCATGTACCTCCCAGGCCTCACCACATCGATGTGGGCGAAGCTGGTGAGCACCAGATCCCACCACCAGCACCCGCGCGGAAGCCACGGCCTGGGTCAGCTCTCCCTGCAGAGTACAGCTCCAGCTGTCATCATAGAGTGGGAAGCACACTGCCAGAGCGGCCGCTGCCCTGTCTGGGGTTTGGAAGCTGCAGAGGCAGAGTTTGGGGAGAGAAAGAAAAACTTCTGCTGCTTCTGCTGCTTTCCTTGCATGCAGCCAAAAGCAGAAGCAACAGAAGTTTGGTAAGCAGAAGCAGCAGAAGGTTAGAATCAGGTGCAGGACCTAGAGAGCTTCTGGGAGAGAAGATTTGATATTTCCAATCTACTGCCATATGGGTTTAGCCATTCTACCACATCATTGTATCTATATTTTTATTTGCAACCAAGTACTACTACCACCGACACAGATATATAGCACAGTATTTTCAAATTTCTAATTTAAACCAATCTGCCTACACTATTATCTCATTGGCATATATGTGAAACAGAGAGCACGTCCAAGAATATCTTGGCAGTTCTTCACTATAATCTCTTACCTAGTAATCTCAATTTGACTTCCACGGCTGTCTGCTTATTTTTTTTCTTATATTATTGGTACCAAACTATACCACACCACTGCCTCTTCCTCAGCACTATCCAGAACCTATCTAAACAACATGCAAGTTCCACCTCTCCAGATCAGGCATGGCAGGTATGGGATCTCCATACCAATCACAAACACACATGACATGGTAGAGGGCCAGATATTCTTCTTTTTTTCTTCAATATAAATGGAACTCCATTAGAAAGTTCACTGAAAAACAAAAAGGATGCTCATCTTTTCTTCAATGCAATTTTTGTGAGCATCTAGTTAAACTGTTTTTCACTATTAAAGAATATTTTAGCTAATCCATTTTTGTATCTCTGCTTTTGAAGTCATTGTATGATTGTATGCCTAAATTGCTATATGATTTTGTTTGTGTGCCTAAATTATATTATTCTAATATTATATTCTAATATTTTATTCAAATTATTATATTTTATTCAAATTTTGAAGTCATATCTACCAAATCTCTGTATGTTGATTGCTATAAACAGGAATAATCCATAATTTATTATATAACATTGTAAGTGAGCAATTCCAAATAAGTAACATCTATAAATTAAATCCTTCCCTGAAACAATACCAACTTATGAAAAGAACAAAACATTATTGAAATGTAAATGAAAGCACATGTGGGAAAGCATAAATGTTCAGGAAATATTTCTTTTATTCTATATAAATATTTGTTATATTTAAATTCATACTAGATAGTAATGAAGTTAAGAACCAGAGGGTAAGATATTCTATCGTATGGTAAGCGGATTGCCTGTAAGAATGAAATAAATTGTTTTAAATAGTTTGTAGTTAGAAACCATGTGTGCTTTTAAGCATGAGTCTTTTTTTAAAAAACAGAAACCTGAAGATAATGTTTATTCTTGTAGCATAGCACATCCACATAACAATTTCTTAATCGTTTAGAGTCACAACAGTAACATTAAAAGAACAAAACCAGAACTGTATGTTTAAACATTTTAACCTCTAGTCAAGACTTTCAACCAAGTTTGATTATATTTATACATGTTGCAATATTTACCTACTCATTGATTTTCTCCCCCTGCCCCCCACAAAGCCATTTATTTATCTTCCCAATGTAACATATACAATAACTGAATTTGTTTCACTTACAAACATGTTTGGACCAATTAAGAATTCTGGCATAATACACAATCTCCTACTTCAAGGAACAGATAATAATCTCACCATTAACCGAAATCAAAAGAAATCTTAATTAGAAACAAGTAAGGCACTCCATAAGTGAACTTTAGATCACCTTTCATCCCTTGACAAAACTGGCAACTGAATACATTATGTACAGTGCGCCCAGAGAAGATGTAGTTATATGTATGTGTGCATGTCTCTCTCCATATCTATATATAGACACATAACATTTCTTTTTCAGAAAAAAGCACCACGAAAGTAATGCACTAAAAAAAAGATCCTGTTGCGGATCCTGAGTTTACAGCCACCTCCCTTTAAGGAAAGTGGTAAAGTTAAGGAAAGCTCTCCGACAAGTGTAAAAGGGCTCAGGGCTTCCACCCGGCCAAGTCTTTTTCATAGGGAGGAACTCCGACCTTTTTTCTACCACTCCAAATCTTCGGGGGGGGGGGGTCTTTCGTTCCTGGGTTCATCATTCAGGACGAATTCCTTAACGTTCAAGTTAGGTCAAAGAAGCCCGTCAAAGGCCTCTTGGAATTGAGCTTGGCGGGCGTGCCGAAGTCAGGAGCGGGTCGCTGACAGGAGACGTTTGGGGAGCGGAACGAGGCGCGCGCTCGCCCAAAGGAACCAGTAACATCCTGGCCGGGGGCGGAGAGGCGGGGGGGTTGAAGAGAGACAAACCAACCTCCCCTCCACACCCCACCCCACCCCAAGTCCGAACCGTCCCGGCCCCTCGCTCCAACTCACCTCTCTTGCTGGGCCGCCCAAGAGCCCCGTCCCCGGAGCTTCCCCGCCTACCCTTGTGGGGCTTCTCCCCAGAGGAACGGCCAGGCTCCGAGTCCCCGCTATCCGGACGGTGCCGGTGTCGGTGGTGATGTCGTCGCTCGCAGTGCAGGGCCTGCGGGGGCAGGCTAAGAGGAGAGAAAGTGAAAAGCCCAGCGGGGGCGGAAGGCACGGCCGGAGTCGCTGGGAGGCCGGGAACGGAGGCCGGCGGCAGCGGCTCTGCCTGAGAGGGCCTCACCGTCAGCGGGGGCTGGCTCAACTTCGCCCTCTTGCAGCTCCCGGCATCCCCGAGAGGACCTTTCCGCTTCCTCCCTCCTCCCCTCGGTCGACCAGGCCGGTCGCCGAGTGGCAGCGAAGGCGTCTCTTCCGCGCCCCGGGACACGGCGCGTACCGCAGCGACCTGCGCAGCCATTTCGCTCTCTCTCCCTCACACACATTTAAATGGCCCGAGCGCCTGTAAACGCTGCGCAGGCGTCGCTTGACACTCTCTGGGAATTGTGGTCCAATCTTGCACGTCGGGATCTGTAGTTTTCGTTGACTGGACGTCTGCTTGTTTATGCAAAGGTTGCCGGGAAATGAAGTTTTCGCTCCAGCTTTCAGTAGTTTTCAACGAAGAGGAGCGTGCAGGGAGTCACGCAGCACGGCCACATCCCGTAGACTTTTGGTTTCCTGGGCGGGGGAGCGGAGGTAACTTTCAACCATGCGTGAGTGGGCGGGGGAACCTCGCTGCTTTAATGGAGCATGCGTATTAGTGCAGCTTTGGATCTTCTTTTCTGTGCCGAGGTTAGATACTGGGAATTGTATTGTTATGAAAGTTGGGATTTCTAAGCACATGCAGAGTGCCTATGATCGCCGTTAATATATGTAATTCATATAACGGCTTCCGTTTCATTGGGGCCTGATTGAGTAGTCAGTGTTTTATATGTGCTTAAAACCAGCCACAGGAACATGTATTGTCAAAACCAGTACGCGCCCACAGAGAGGGACTCCTCAGGGTGCCGTCAGCCAGGCAATGTCGGCTGGCGACCCCCAGGGGGAGGGCCTTCTCTGTGGCAGCTCCTGGAACGATTTGCCCCCGGAGATATGAAGGATATCGGATCTCCGGGTCTTTCGCCCTGCCCTGAAAACTTTTCTTTTCCATCAAGCAGGGCTGGTGTGAAACCCGTCCCCCCCTCCCGCTTTTTTTTTTTTTTTTTTTTTAGCTTTTTAAATTGTCAATGGGTTTTAGTTTGAATGTTTTAAATTTTGGGCCAAAGTTATGTAATTCTTTTAACAATTTTAAATTTTGTATCTGCATGTGTTTTAACTCTGGTTGTTCACCGCCCTGAGTCCACTAAGAGAAGGGCGGTATACAAATTGAAATAAATAAAATAAATAAAATAAATAAAATGTATAGACTAGACTAGAGTGCTGAAAATGCCAAAGTCCTGAAACGTACATGCGCGAAAATAAACAGCACTTTGGAATGTTTCGATAGTCGAACGATTATAACCTTATTTTACCGAGGCTAGGAATGAGCGCTCAGGCTGCTTTATGTTGCTTATTTTGTGTTTAGCTATGGCAATTGAGTCACTGGATGAGAATTAATAGATTTCCGTGAAATTAGAAATATAATTAGAAGAGGCCGACCAAAGCCCAAGCGTTAAGCTTTTGACTGGCTTACAGCTCTTCTCTCTAATTATTAATAGTTTTCCTCAATTTTCTGGTTGGGTAGGATGTTCTTTGCTAAATGTCTCCCCATATTCAATGAGGTATGTATATCTGGTAGCACATGTTTTGAAGGCTGCATTTCATCCAACTGCTTTTGATGTACGTTTTAAGTTTATTGTGCACATTCTGCAATTTATCCTGTCTTAATGTTATGATTTTAATTCACGTCTGCTGCTTGCTTTTTGCTTAATTCCCACAGCACTGTCTCATTTCTCATCTTCTCAACTTTCCTACTATCTTCTCCAATTGGTTCTTTATGATTTATCAATTGTTTGTAACTTGTGATTAATTATTGTAACTGATTTATGATCTATGACCTATTACTTGCTGTTTAGATGTACGCTGTGAGTTTACGCACCAGAGACAAATTCCTTGTGTGTCCAATGACACTTGACCAATAAAGAATTCTATTCTATTCTATTCTATTCTATTCTATTCTATTCTATTCTATTCTATTCTATTCTATTCTATTCTATTCTATTCTTATTTTCTATCCTAATTTAAGCAGGTCTCTGGTTGAAATTTATTCTGCTTTCTTAAAACTTTCCAAAATGAAGTTACTTTTTCAGCCAGCTCCAGAGCATTTGAACTTTTCATTCTCAAAAGGCTACACATATTTCATAAAGGGCAAAACAACAGTATCAGACTGATACATGTAATCCACATACAATAGTGATGCAAATACATCACTATTGGGATAACAATGGGATAACAATGTAGCAGGAAAAGTGTCCTAGTCTGCAGTGACAAAAAAAATCAGAGTAATGTGGCTTGATTGTAATTTAAACTGAGATGGGAGGGGAAGAGATCTGTAACCTGCACTGCATAACCAACCTGCCTCCCCTCCACCAATCCTGTATAGTTATTCTATGCTTCTGATAAATTGAATAGCAGCTCATAAAAGCTTATGCCTTTTAATAAAATTTGTTAATTGGAAAAGATGCTACCAGATGCCTAAAACAGTTTCTCATGAGATTAAAAGACAATACCTAAAAGTTATAGAAATTTATGGAAATGTATGGACTGAGTGATATTTGAGAAATGATGAATTCCTCAACAGAAAGATTTACATATTATTCAGGTTGGTAGGCACTCTTCTTATCTAACAATACATTATGTGCACCAATAAGAATTCCAGTTAAATCTGAATTTAATTTGGATGGAAGCATCCCAGTCCAGTTCAATTAATGGAGAGCCTGTGGTCTTTAAGAGTTTGTTACAATAATAAGATACTACATAACAAAGAAGAAATCAAATTGCAAATAGGTCAATTGTCTTGGTTCACATACAGTAGCTCCAGCTCAGCGCTTTTTTAATATGAAGGGTATAAGAAGGATTATGCATCTCACTGCATAAAATACTTTATTTGAGAAATTAAATATTAATTACCTAAAATACATTTGTTATTACTGGAAAAGAAATTAGGCAATCTCCCTGTAGATTTAAAAGAATCTTTAGACTATTCTATTCTATTCTATTCTATTCTATTCTATTCTATTCTATTCTTATTTTCTATCCTAATTTAAGCAGGTCTCTGGTGGAAATTTATTCTGTTTTCTTAAAACTTTCCAAAACGAAGTTACTTTTTCAGCCAGCTCCAGAGCATTTGAACTTTTCATTCTCAAAAGGCTACACATATTTCATAAAGGGCAAAACAACAGTACTCAGACTGATACATGTAATCCACATACAATAGTGATGCAAATACATCACTATTGGGGTAACAATGGGATAACAATGAAGCAGGAAAAGTGTCCTAGTCTGCAGTGACAAAAAAATCAGAGTAATGTGGCTTGATTGTAATTTAAACTGAGATGGGAGGGGAAGAGATCTGTAACCTGCACTGCACAACTAACCTGCCTCCCCACCACCAATCCTATATAGTCATTCTATGCTTCTGATAAATTGAATAGCAGCTCATAAAAGCTTATGCCTTTTAATAAAATTTGTTAATTGGAAAAGATGCTGCTAGATGCCTAAAACAGTTTCTCATGAGATTAAAAGACAATACCTAAAAGTTATAGAAATTTATGGAAATGTATGGACTGAGTGATATTTGAGAAATGATGAATCCCTCAACAGAAAGATTTACATATTATTCAGGTTGGTAGGCACTCTTCTTATCCAACAATAGATTATCTGCACCAATAAGAATTCCAGTTAAATCTGAATTTAATTTGGATGGAAGCATCCCAGTCCAGTTCAATTAATGGAGAGCCTGTGGCCTTTAAGAGTTTGTTACAATAATAAGATACTACATAACAAAGAAGAAATCAAATTGCAAATAGGTCAATTGTCTTGGTTCACATACAGTAGCTCCAGCTCAGCGTTTTTTTAATATGAAGGGTATAAGAAAGATTATGCATCTCACTGCATAAAATACTTTATTTGAGAAATTAAATATTAATTACCTAAAATACATTTGTTATTACTGGAAAAGAAATTAGGCAATCTCCCTGTAGATTTAAAAGAATATAGGCATGGGGGGTGGGGGGGGGAATGGTAGATACAAAATGACAAACTGTTTTTGGTATTGTTCCTGATATTGTTTCTTTCTTAATAGCCTTTTCAGACGTATGACTTTTCTTGTTATTTCTGATAGCATTTCTGTGAATTGCTAAATTGTACATAAGATAATCTTTAAGTACTATTAACTCTTATAAGGTAGTTGCTCAACTATTGTGGATGGTGTCTAATTTCAATACATAACTATACAGTTATGTAAATAACCATGCAAGCTAATTCAAAATCTTTTGAGTTTTTTGCTCCAAGCACAAGTGACCTGGCTGAAATTACCCTACTTTGAACACATTGTACAAATTGTCCATCTGGCTGGACAAAGGTCTCATGTTGGGAAAGGTGGAAGAAAAAAGAAGAGGGTGACCAGCAGTCATTGCATCAAGCTGAATTAACTAGATCTGCTCTAAACTCTGCTGGCAACTGATTTGCTCCAAGATAATATATGGGAGCTTTCTGCAATATAATTCATGCACACGATCTTGCAACTACACAAATTATTTTAGTGGGAAGCTCTCAAAAAGGCATTCAAATGTTCTGTGATAACAGGATTCCTTCCACTAAAGATACAAGTTAAAACCCATGTTTTAAAAACAATAGAGGCACTGTATAGCCCAAACCCAGTACTCTAATTTAAAGTTTCACATGGAGAGTCCAGTCTGTATTCTCTGTTTGTAATCCAAATGAATCCTTGCCATCCAGTGCTGATTTACAGTTTTGTTTTCAAATGAAAATTAATCCCATATCAATCAGAGATCAGTTTGGAATAATAATACATGAATGTAGTTTTTGGCAATTTTGTATGCCATTAACAGCTAACTATTGAAGGAAGATTATGCTAATTGTAGTATTATACATCTTTGAGATAAATGTGAAATGAGTTTGGTTGTTAAACTTTGTGGAAATATGCTGGAGAAGACTCCTGCGAGCCCCTTGGACTGCAAGGCAATCAAACTGGTCAGTCCTAGAGGAGATCAACCCTGACTGCTCTTTAGAAGGCCAGATCCTGAAGATAAAATCAAATACTTTGGCCTCCAAATGAGAAGGAAGGACTCACTGGAGAAGAGACTAATGCTGGGAATGATTGAGGGCAAAGAAAAATGAGGTGGCTAGATGGAGTCACTGAAACAGTCAGTGTGAGCTTAAATGAACTACTGGGGATGGTAGAGGACAGGAAGGCCCGGGTTTGCGATGGGTCGGTCACGACTTTGCGACTAACAACTACAACAACCACCATGGAAGCTTTTGCTGGTACTCAAATAAATAAAATTTAATAAATAAATAAATTTACTGTATATCTTTATTATACATGTCTTAAATTTCACTGTGTTTCAATTCATTTAGTTTTCTGATTATTTTTAATAGATATAAAGATTACTTGTGTTGGCTTTATTTTATTCTCACTTTACCCCACTTTATACAGTATTGTTCTCATCTTTCTCCAACTTGGTACCTTCTTCATGTATTGAATTTCAGCTCCCATAAATCCCAGCCAGCATCCCACAGCTTGTCTCAGAGAACTGATTCTTTTGTGATACAAATATCTTCTGCCATAGGCTTTATGTAAAATAGGTAAAGTAAGGTTATATCGCTTACTTCAGTCACTGACCATGGAGAACAATGATTCTGTACCAGGCCTAGAACTTTTTGGTCTCAAAATTGACAAAATCACAACAGTCAGAAGTGAAAAGGCAATAAAATATGTTAAACCAACTATTTCTAACCCTACCTTCTTATTTTGAAAGGGCTGGTATAAATGATTCAAATGCTAAATTTTTAACCTCCAGGATAAAGACTGCTGTTTTGAGAAGTGACTTAATCTTCAAATAGTAATTGCTCTCTAAAATCAAAATGGAACTCGCAATCAAAACAAGTATTTTGACACACTACAAAATATGCTTGAAAATAAATGAGTGAATAGAGGGCAGCCTGAACTTTGCTCTTTGCTGTTGAAGAAATTTCTAGCACTTCAGAATGTGAAGCTCCTATTTTCACTTACAAGAAATCACTTGATATCAATTTTGAAAGTGCTGAACTGTCCATCAGCTGCATAGTACCTTTCCTGATAAATAACAGTTATATAGACAGATGCCTTACTAATCTCTTATCTGTTTCAAAAGCAAGGGGAGCTGAAGTCATATCCCCATGACAGACATAGACCCAGAATATATGAATGACAAATGACATGCCTTTCTACTAAAAACTAGGTACCATTCTAGAACAGCAACACAATTTATATTTCTATAGTGGCAGATTTAAGATAACACCATAAGACACTGAGGTTACTTAAACCTTGGCATTTATTTTTTGTTCATCTCAATGTGTTGTAAAACAATTTTACCAGATGTTGTCTGATGGAAACAAGTATTGGAAGTAGCACAAAAGCTCTCTGATTTCATTTCCTCAGCATGACATGCAATCCAAATCAGATGGACAGGTGAGATTATATTGTATATTAATTTTACTAAGAAGATGCAGCATACAAGACTAAATACCATAATACAAGTTTTTTGTTCAAAATAATGCTGTTTATTGGAAACAAACAAAAAAAACATCAGCAAGGCAAGTCTACAGGACTAGAGATAAGAAATTCTTCTTAAATATTCCAATTTGATGGTGGATTTCTTGGTCCTTTGGGTTTGGAGAATCGGTTTGCAAAGCCTGTGACAAAAAAATTAAACCATTAAGCACTACTATCATATTTTATATAAATAAAATAAATCTTCTGTGAATCTGAAGCAAAACCTTAGTGGGTACGCATGTCACTGACAGAAGCTATGTGAGAGACAGTGCAGCTATTCCAAACAAACAGTTTGACAACTGCAATAATAAATGTATTGTTCATTATAAAGCAATCAAGTATTTTTTTAAATTGAAGCTAAGCAATAAATGTATAATATCTTCCTCTAGTACAGATAAATAAATTTAAAAATGCTTAAAGGTAGCAATAATATTTGCATATGGTGGTATGGGTTGGTGCTAACAATTTATTAAGTTGTTTTATATACATCTATCATCTCATAATTTATGTAGTAAAGTTGCTGGGAGTTGAGTGATTTCCTCTTTCATTTAGGAGCGGAGGGAATTACTACCTATTTTTTCCCACAAAACAAGGCTGTGAGGTAGATGGTATGGTTAAAATGATTGGTTCAAAGTCACCTGCTGGCTATGGCTAAGGATGACTAGAAATTGGATCTTGGGCAAATATGGCAGAATTTTGAACTATTTTCAGAAAGGATTTTTTTCCTTCCTCATGTCAACATGTCTGCCATTTTTCCCTAGTTCTCCACCTGTATTTTCTCATTTCAATTTAATCCTAGGTGTTTTCAGTCACTTTATATTATTTGAGAAAACTATTGGAAAATATAAGCCAACATCTTACCATATTTAATAAATGTAAAAAGGATTCTGACCATCCTTTGCAATGTTTATGTTTATGCATATGACCTTATATATGGTAGGATGAGAAATCTTGGTGATAGCATTACAAACTATCAACTGGAAAGTTTTAGTAATAATTTAGAGAATTCAAGAAAACATTAGGATAGGTACTATTCTAATTTTGGTCTTTAGTATTCTATGGATTTCCTTCATAGTAAATTGAACATTGAAGCATATTTATTTTTTAAAATGCATACCAAAACTCAGAATAGAGCTGTGATGATTTGACTGATTATGCTCCGGAGCGTTTACTAACGAAGATGGATTCCAAATACCTAAAAATTCAAAAATGTCTTTAGTAAGTCATAGTTAGACTGACAGATTTTATGCACTGTATTGTGATTCTTGATGTAAGGGTAGTCTTGCTTAAATTGGAATAGGAAAGATAAAAGAATATCCATTAATCTTACCACTCAGTATGAATGCAATATTGTAAGACAAAATTCTAATACTGGTACTAGTGCTCTTTTGATGTTCTGTCCATTAGGAATTGTTTATTTCATAATGACATGCCTGTGTAATTATGTAAAAGTTTACATGACAGAAGGAAGTGGACCTAGTCTCATGGTTTTTACCATAAGCAGGGGAACATAAGTTCCAGATGGGTCTTTTGAAGAACCATAGAAAAAGTTCCCCCATGTAATTGGATAAACCTAATAAATACTACAGAATTATTTGTTACAGAATTTCTTTCAGTAAACCTAAAATATTAACCTATAGGATGTTTTCTCAAATCTGGCCCTGTGTGGATGTGTTAGAGATCATTGAATTGGGAAAAGATGCCATAGAACATTTCAGTTGCCACTGATTGGAACAGTATTTGAGGATTTTGTTAACCTATTATTGGTATGTATGGTTCATTTTTACATCCTTTTAAAGTATCTACTTATGTGGCCACACCCAGCCCCAAATTTATTAACAACTAAAGATAGTAGAACAACTATAGAATCCAGGAGTCTTTGTCACTTAACGTTAAAGCCAATTTGTTTTACACTTCTTCCTTTCTGGAGGATCTAATGGCTGACAGGATGGCATTTGATTGGTTTGCAAGTACATCTTGTCAACTCTTAACTGCTGTTTGATGCTTTATCTGAAACAATTGCCTCCTGATCCCAGAAGCTTCTGACAGACTTTTCTCTCTTTAGCAATCTAGTGATTTTGGAATTATTCCTCTTTCATTTCATTTCATTAATTCTCTTGGTCCTGGGCCAAGCTTTCCAAGATGCTCAGCTTTCTCTTTGTCAGACTTCAATGTACTGTTTTAATTTTTGCCTAAGTCTCATTGCAGTAGCAAACAATCAGCAATGACTCCAAGGAGAGAAACGGTATTAATCCATGGCAGCAAGAACATAACCACCTTAGAAATTAATTGTGGGTTAGTCGAGGGAAATGTAGGCAGAAGCCTGCATCATCAAATGCATACAGCTAAGCTTTGGAATCAGCACTCTTAAATGCATGAATTAAGGCCAAAGGTGCTTTCTCAAATAGGTCTAAGGAACCTGTCAGTTAGAATGTGTATGTGTTTACCATAATGGCCGCAATTCATACTATAAATGTTAAGTTTTTAAGGACTGGATGGAAAATTTACTGTGTTTTTAAGTTAAATTTCAGTATAATTCCTGGCTATTTTCTGTATATTTAAAATAGAATGGGAAAACAAAGTGTTACATGTTAATAGTTTACATTTGAAGCCTTTCATCCAATGCATTAATTAATCAGTGTTTCTGAAATCCTTTGGTATCTTTTGTGTCATTGAAAGACAATGGGATTTGATAGTTGGTTTTTATTAATCCAGTAAACTATTTGCTATCCTCTATACTTGTAAGGATATTGTATAAGTATATTGCTAATTGTTTCTTTCTTCAAGATACTTACAGTTTTTCACATTTCGTAAAATTTTCAAACTCTGTAAAGAGAGAGAGAAAGTCCTCTATTGGTATTAAGAAAACACTAATTACTAAAGATCATTAACACTTGGGAGTAGAGTTCTAACAGTGTAAATATGGAAAGAGAAGTAAATATGAAATGCAGTATAATTTTCTTTCTTTCTTAAAACACACCCAGTGTGATGATTGATCAATATTCCAAGTTTCGTGAGAGTTGAGCCTTCTGAATAAGATTACTGTAATATGCTCTACACAGGGTTGTCCCATTTAAAAGAAAGATTGGCAAGAAACAAAGGATGTTGGTTTCTTTATTTTGGACATTCATGCATACATCAAAAAATATAAAAGAAGATGAAGCAATTGCTAATTATTTATTAATGATATAAAAATAAACACAATACATCTCACCTTCGGTGAAGGATTGTTGTCTCTGAGACAGGACATGCAACCACATGAGGATATTAATGGGGACTACCAATCACCACAAGTGATATTGCAGTTGTTAACCTACACAGTAAATGCTTTCAGGACTTACTTTGTAATCACATCCAATCCAATAAACACGGTCACAAAAGAAATCCTAATTGGGCCAAAGAGATTATGCTTTTCCAGTAAGAAAAACCACTTACTTAAATCCTGGATAAATGATGTTTGTCTAACCAAAAGAAATGTTGCATTGTGTAAAAACATCTGGTCTTCTGCCCAACTGAAATATCTATGATTTACATTATGTATAAAGTATGGGAGAAAAAAACCCCTGCTTTTCTGTTTCTAAATTAATGATGCATTTCACCAGCCCCACTTTCCTTACCTTGCTCCTTCTGAAGTTGCCTGCTTCTTTTGTTGTCTCCTTTGCTGATTTAATCTGAAGGTTGCCAAGGTTCACTGCATTGTTTGTAACAGATGGACAAGCTATAAAAAGAAACAAGTGTCAAAAAAAGACACAATGGAAAAAAACTCTCTGTATATTAAAAAAGTATTTGTGAAAAAAATATTATTAAACCAATTTTACTTATAAAAAATCCTGTAGGACCTAAACTTACAGGAATACAGCCAATTTGTTTGTGAAAAATAAAAAATGTAAATTCATCTCTCAGCAGAGGCATTAAAAGATGTATTTTAAAAAGTAGGTTAGGATGAAAAGCATCCTAAGAGACAAGTGTAAAACTGTCTACCAAACTCCAATATGTACCATAGCAGCAGCTTTGCCACAAGTATGAAAAATAGCTCTGAATTGATTTTCTATATTGCTAGAATCACATTGAGATTTCAGTACATGATCATACATGTGGGTGGTATCATTGGAACGGAAAAACCAGTTTGCATATAAATCAGTTCCAGTATTTAAAACCAACTAAGATGTAACTGCTGAAGTCACACTTTGCTTTGAACTTAGCATATATTTTACATGGGAATGAAGTAAAATGGAGGTCAACTAACTTTCTTAAGCAAATAAAAGGCTACAGACCAACATATCTGAAGAACCCTGAACGTTTCTATTCATTTAGTACTTTATCTAATAATATTGAAAGAACACAATGCAAAAAATAGCAAGAACTGGAGCTGGGAATCATTTTTCTACTCGTGTTTCCCTGTCTTATATTTTTCTGAACCTTGAAATAAGCGCTTGGCCTTACTTTCGGGGAGGTCTTATTATTTTGGGGCACGTGGAGCAAGATGGGGCTTCTTTTGCCATCTTACCTGATTTCCAGCTCTGTCTCCCTAACCCTAACCAGAGGAAACAGCGGGGACTGGCTGCACATGCATTTAAATATTTTCGGGGAGGGCTTATTTTCAGGGAAACAGGGTAAGCAGATACTCAGTTGTCCTTACCATCTGTAGTTGTAAATTCCTTCTACCAACTGACCTCTTTCTATCAACTAGATCTTCTCAAAACTGCTTTAATTTCTCCTTTCTTCTGAACTGAGGATATTTAAGTAACAGCCCTACATATCTAAAACTATAACAAGATGACAAAATCTGTGGGACTTACAGTCCTCATCTGCAAGAAGAAATGATTCAGGAGTTCTTTCCGGAAGTGGGGGAGTAGGCGGTGAAGAAGATCGGTTCCAGTGAAATTCTGTGGTGATACAAAAAGAATATATTTAAATTAGTTCACATTTAACAATCCTAAGGCTCTGCAATGGTTCATTTGTGGTTCTATCAACAGCATTAATCACAACTGTTTAACAAGATTCCAGTTATGCATTTAAAAATCCTATACGTGCTGTGGCTGGACTCACTCATTCTGCAGAGTCAGAGTATGTTTTAATGCAATGAAACATGCCCTGAGATATTGTTTTATGCCAGAAACAAATAATCTATTTACCCAATTAGCATCTTGTATAATAACCTGTAACAAAAACCTTCACTATATAGTCTATATAAATAAAAATGTAAATGTCCGTTTGTACATAACCGCACATCTCCGAAAGTTCTTCACTGATTGCTTTCAAATTTTGACACAATGTTGCATTCAACTACGGGCATGTTTTTATATACCTATATTATATACATGTCACACCTGTGACAGGTAAAAACATGAAAAACATTGGAAAACATTGAAAGACATTGACAAACATTGAAAAACAGCACCATCTGTTGGACATAAAACCAACATGGCAGCCTCCCAGCCCTGATTATGCTTAACAGATTTCTGCTCCTTATATTTAGACTTTCCATATTGCTTCCAAGAAACTGCGCATTTGGAAGGCAGAGACGTCCAAGGGCCATATCCTGCCACCAGGCTCGACAGGCAGGCAGCTGGCTCCCCGCCGGAAAGCCCTCGCAGCCGGTGCTTCTAGGGCTGGCCGGGGCCCTCCCGAGCCTGGCTCTGCCCTCCCTCTCCCCCGGCCGGCCTGTGAACTAGCCTCGCCCACCGCTGCTGCCCATCTCCCTCACCAGCCGGTCTCGGGGCTCCCTCCAAAGAACAACTGGCAACAAGGCTGCCTGGGTCTACCGAGCGGGAACCCTCCGTCCCTCGCCTGGCCTGAATCGCGCCTGGCCCAGCGCTACCATGGGCCCCTGGTCAGAAAGACCAGCCGCTAACCGGCACGATGCAAATCTGGTCGGTGAGCAGGAGATGGAGGCAACTGGAGCCTCGGGGTCGCCTTTGACCAGCGCTGCCTTTGATTCCCAGGTGGGCACTCTGGCAGTTCACGGAGTCTACATGAAAATTTCGGCCTCTGGCAGAAAGGGGGCTCTGGGGAGGCTTCGGGGGGGCGGAAACGGCCAGGAGGGAGGATGGCCGGCCCTCCTTCGTTTCTCCTGGAAGAGCGGGGGATTTAATCATTCCCCTGCCCTTGGCAGGCGGGGGAGGAGAACTGCACAGCAGGGGTCCAGTGGGGTGTGCGTGATTCCTGGCTTTGCCGCTTTCTTCCTTCGGGCGGGAAGTCCCAAACCAGCCTCGAACCCCCGCCGCACCTCCTCCCTCCCTCCCTTCCCTTCCCTGCTATGCATCTCCCCGTCAAGCCCCCAGAGAACATGTGTGTAGGGAGGATGGAGGGGGGGCGAGTTTCTGCTGTGCTGCGGAGAGCTGCGAAGGCCTGGCCTGAAAAGGTAAGGGCGATGGCGGGGGATGCAGAAGAGGCTGGGCCAGAGACAGAGATAAACAGAGAGAGAGGGAGAGAGAGACATAGAGAAATACAGAAAGACCGGGGGGGGGAAGGAGAGAGACATACAGAGATATATAGAGAGAGGGTGGGAGAGAGAGAGACAGAGAGACAGAGAGGGTGGGAGAGAGACATAGGGATACAGAAAGAGGGGGAGAGAGAGACACAGAGAGATACAGACGGGGGAGAGAGAGAGACATAGAGAGATATAAAGAGAGAGGGGGAGACAGAGAGGGAGGATTTTGTGGTTCCCATTGTTTTTTAGCAACCGGTTCTCTGCCCTAATCACCAGCTGGCTCGGGGGCTGTCATGTGACTGATGAAAGTGAGTGACGTCGAGTTGGCCACGCCCACCAAATGTTTGTGGAGACTTTGGAACTTCAGTCTGGCTCTTTTAGCCCAGTGGAAGCACCAGACTGGGCCACAGCAACGTGTAGCCGGGTACAGCTAGTTTATAATAAAGAAACACTGATATAAAGGGTAGCCTGAGTAAAACTGAGATGTACTAAGACCTACTTTCAGTCATTATAAAGCAAGCAAGAACAATGGTTATGTATATTAATTAAAAAATTAGGAGAAAAAGTACCTGATCTAGGTCTCTGTAGCTTTCCACTCTGGAAATGAACAAAAAGAGACAATGCTTAATCTTGCCCCATCTTGGTAGGACTGTATTTAATTTTTATTGAGTATTTTGGTGTTCCCCAATGCAGTGCCTCAAACATGAGCAGATGATGGGCAGATAAGGACAGAAACATTTCAAGCAATCATATTCACTGCAATGTAATTTGATAATTCTAAAAAAAATCACCCCTTCAAACTTCTTTTCTAATTCCAATTCCACAAGTCCAGGTCTAAGACCGTTTGGGAAAGAAGAATATGAAAGAGCAACTGCTGGAATAATTTCTAGAAATTGCTCATCAGGTCTAGATTTCTGCTACCCCTTGCTTCACTCAATGGGAATATAACCTGCTCTTTGTCTCAACCCCTGGAATTCAGATGCAGTATCTATAGCAGTGTAGTTTGTCACAGAGGTAGCCTTTATTCAACCGAAGTCAGGTCTTCAGTAGAACAATGCTGCAGAATATGTTTAAACCAACCTTATTGGGTCTCAGTCTCACTGAGTCATCAGAAAATCTCAGCTGAGACAGGCTGCTCCATTCTGTAGAGATTTTTGATTTGTTGTTTTTAGATGGTAGCTGATGATCTGAAACTGCTAACAAAGGTTTATCTGTAAATGATAAAAATCAGAAATTAAAATTGAGTGATTTTTAAAATAACTTTATAGATAGCAGAAGTTTCCAAGCAATAGAAAATAGCTGTATCTTGCCCCAAGGGCCTATGGTGCGTTTACCCGATTGCTGGAGCTCATTCTCTTCTCCAAGTACAATAAAAGATTCAGGGGTTCTCTCAGGCAGGGGAGGAGGAATATCTTCATCATGCTGGGGAGAACCTGCAGTTTAAAAAAAAAAAAAACCCTGAAGATTAGAGGGCTTCCTTTTTAGTAAGTTCTGCCAGATCTGGCCAGCAGTATCCAAATGATCACTAGATGGCATTTAAAAAAAAAAAACACTGAAAATTCAAAGTCCTTGTTTTCCTCTAGTGCAGGGGTCTCCAGCAAAGCTGGGGAATTCTGGGAGTTGAAGTCTGCCAGGCTTACAGTTGCCAAGGTTGGAGACCCCTGCTCTAGTGGTTTTCTGGATTTTTCTAGAACAGATCTGATAGTCCTATTTCACAAAAATAATTGGTTTCAGTACTGATTTAATAAAACCAAATACCAAATTCTATCTAGTGGGCTGGTCCTCCAAGGTTAACCTTCACAAGAGAGTCAAGTGTTCATATTGTAGCATGAGTTTATAGATTCTTGGTTATTAAAAATTTGGCACTATGCTGTTCTAAATCAGTGTTCTCTTCTGACTACCCCTGGATCTTAAAGACAGGGCTCGCTGCCCTTCTATTCTTTCAAACTAGACATGCCAGAAACTGAACACAGAGCTTTCTCAACACAAACCATGTATCCCTCCTTGAGCTATAGTTCCTCTCTTCCTTCCATTTTGTACTGCTTTTTATTGCTGCTATTTCTTAGGCACATTCAGTTAATATGATTATTATCTTATTTCATTCACTAGGTAAATCTATATTTAGGAAGTATCCACAAGTTACTAGCTAGCACTCTATATCTGCTTCTACTTTGAACAGCAATATTTATTGTCTCTAAAATGCCAAAAACTTATTGGAGTCTGTTCACATTTTCAAACATCTCTTCTAATTTCTAATATAAAAATGTTAGACATTATATACAGTGCTGCCAAAATATAAAAGCAGTTAACCTGTGTACTTTAATATACCTTTGTGACCACTAGATGGCACTAGAGCTAATCGTTTAAAACAGAAAAATTTGCAAACTTTAATTACCCTGCATTTGCATGCTTCTTAAATATTAATCAAGGGAGAAATTAAATATGATTTTTCCATGTTTATTACTGATTATCATTAGCCAGTTCTCCTGGAATAATTTATTTCAACTCACTAAGTTCTGGGTATTAAAAATTCAGATGGAAGAGCTACCTATGCTGTATTCCGAATAGATATCTGCTGAAAAATTATTCCAGTTCTTTCCACCTCAGAACTTTTTTCCACACATAAGGATTATAGAATCATTTCTTGCTTCCGTATTTATATCATCTGCTTTTTGCCATATGGAGCAAATTGTGAGGAAGGATTTCAATTCTTTGCTTCACTGTTTTATTTCTGCAGAACACTAGGGGAAAATTCTGTTCTCTCTCTCTCTCTCTCTTCTTCCCTCCCTCCCCTCACCCTCTCTCCAAGCCTCAATGGGCTCTTTGTTACAACTCAGTTTCCTGTTGTCATCACACAAAGAAAAAATAGTAAATACTTCAGCCACTTTTGCCTGGTCTGCAGCCAAATGTCAACAGAAATTTGTCTGTGTTGGCTTCTGTAACTTAGGCCATGAGAAAGTATGTTTTGTGCTTGTTATTGTCTTTTTTTTTTAATGGAGTACTTTCTCTTTTTTATTTCTCCCTTTACCTTATTCCTTTAATTATTCTCTAATTTATTAATTGGCTATGTCATAACAGTTGTACAAGTAAAATCAATTTATGTATTGATATTAGTCAGAACTTTCCCTGTGCAAATTGGGGATGGGGAAGGAGATCAAATTGACAGAACATGTGTCCTTACATTGCAGGTTTTAATCTGATATTCAGCTAAGGCAATTACAAGTTTCTAGCAGCAAATGTACCAGGCCACCCAGATCAGTAGTGGGATTCAAATCCTGTCTCTACCGGTTCGCTTGTGGGTGCACAGGCACGTGTGCAATGCTTTTGCGCATAGACATCCAGGTGGGTGGGTGGAGCCTCCCGCCACCACAGCTGCTATCAGTTTGCCCGATTCAGGGTGAACTGGTAGCAACCCACCACTGACCCACATGAATTTTATATTTATGGGGGAGGGGTTGTGGTGGGTTTTTTTTTTTTTTTGTTAGTTGCAAAGTCGTGTCCAACCCTTTGCGACCTGTATGGACAACATTCCTCCAGGCCTTCCTGTCCTCCACCATCCTCTGGAGTCCATTTAAGCTCACGCCTACTGCTTCAGTGACTCCATCCAGCCACCTCATTCTCTGTCGTCCCCTTGTTCTTTTGCCCTCAATCTTTCCCTCTGCTGGCTCTTCTCCAGTGAGTCCTTTCTTCTCATTAGGTGGCCAAAGTATTTGAGTTTCATCTTCAGGATCTACCCTTCTAAAGAGCAGTCAGTCTTCTCTAGCACCCTAGTTCAAAGACCTCAATTCTTTTGTTGTTGTTAATGGAACCCAAAAATTGACATAAGCAGTTGCCCAATACAATACTTTGACATTTGGAACTGATCATATTACGGTGGGATAGGATTAATGTATGTACCCAAGTTCCATCATATGTAATCTCTTTTATGGCTATAGTTTATGTATGTATGAATTTGGTCCATGGCAATAATAAAATATGTACTTATGTATGATTTTGCTCATTATGCTTAGCCATATTACAAAAGACACTTTAAGAAATTGCCAATATATACATTGAAGAAAAAGACTCAAAGCAGTGTAAATTTTTCCTAAAGAAAAACTATTAGGTTTCCACTTAGATTCCTAATATTTATGCTTATCAAAATTAATTTCAAAAGAGAGGTCTGAATATTGTGTTCTCTATCTGCATTCTAACCACTGCATGGTGGCACAGTGGTTAGAATGCAATACTGCAGGCTACTTCTGCTGACTGCCGGCTGCCAGTAGTTTGGCAGTTTGAATCTCACCAAGCTCAAGGTTGACTCAGCCTTCCATCCTTCTGAGGTCAGTAAAATGAGGACCCAGATTGTTGAGGGCAATATGCTGACATTGTAAACTACTTACAGAGGGTTATAAAGCACTGTGAAGCAGTATAAGTCTAAGTGCTCTTGCTCTGATATCTCTTGACTATCATGTAAACTCTGGAACCTAAGCATTTTCTGCATCACATTCAGAATTCAAACATAAAAGATGTATTAGGAAAGAACAGGTTTACCATCTATACAATATCAAAGCCTCCTCATTTTATACAACCAATCTGTACACCATATCTCAGTTGGTAACACTTCCTTGTCTTATTTGTTAAATGTTTGGATATAATCAGTCATGTATCCTAATGGACCATTTCTATGGGCTACACTTTCTCTGAGTAAAGAAAGGGTGAGAAAGATCATGTCCTAAAGTGATTCTCTGTGTAGTACCAAAAGGCTCTACTCTTTCACTCTCCTCTTCAACATCTACAGGAAGCCTCTGGAAGAAGAGGTCATCTTCTGGCATTGGGTCAGGTATCATCTGCTTGTCACTCAATTAGGGTAAGAATTCATTCAGTTAATCTACTTTGTCAGTCATAAGTCTGGTAGGCTGCATCAGCAGGATCTTCCTGACTTCTAATAACACTACCAAAAAAAGAGACCATTGCTCAGTAGAACAACACATCTTAGATGCAAAAGGTTTGGGATCAGCCATGGCTTTAAAAGTTGCTTCTCACAAAATTGGAGAGCTTGTGGCTGGGCTGACCTATGCTAAATTGTAATCTGGGAACTCAGTCACTAAAATTTCATAATTTACATTCCAGATATTGCTGAAGTAAAACTGATGATACATTGATGTACCATCATTTATGGATGATACATTGATGGATGTCTCAATCCTGAGTCAAACAGAGATGCTATCTCAACATCTGAAAGCTGTAGTTTTGTTGAGAAAAAGACTCCTGATTGAAGAAGACTTTTGCACAACTCCCATATTATCTGCTGCCTTTGAAGAAACCCAGAAGCTACAGCTGGTGTAGAATACAATGGCTCTAGTTAAGGGCACCACCCAACTTCCCCAAGTAACACTACAACTGCAAGAGTTTCACTAGTTGACAGTTGCAACTGGGTGTAATTCAAGATGCAGATTGTCAGCTTTGAAGCCATATATGGCTTGGATCCTGGATAAATTTTCTCCCAGCATTTTTGCCTATCCAGTAAGACCCAGTAGGGACGGTTATCAACTATCAGCATCCTCTGATATCCCTGAGAACCACGAGGATGTACCTGTCCCTTCTTTGGAACAGTGCTTCACCTGAAGTCAGGTTAGCGCCAAACCATAATTGTTTTAAAAAGCCTTTGGAAATTGATGCTATGATGAGTTCTTTTCCTGTAGCAAACAATTACTGCTGCTAAGACTATTTCCCTTGGTATATTTATGGTTATGATTGCTATTGGTTTAGGGCAGAGGTCTTCAAACTTGGCAACTTTAAGACTTGTGGACTTCAACTCCCAGAATTCTCCAGCCAGCTATGTACAGAGAATTCTGAGAGTTGAAGTCCACAAGTCTTAAAGCTGCCAAGTTTGAAGACCTCTGGTTTAGGAGTTCAATTACTTTTATTCTTTGGTAATTTTATTTTATTTTTTAAATTTATAAGATGCTCAGAGCTTCTTGGAATTGAGCAGCATATAAATGGCAGAATGGAAATAATGCTGCAACCTTGTATAAACTTACTGTGGCAGACTGTATCCAAAGGACGAGTATCCTGGGCTGGAGGGTTGAACAATGGGTAGCTGGCCTCTGAGCTCTCCAAAGCCTGGCCTGTAAAGGCCACAGCAGAAGGTGAAGGAACTGTTCTAAGGGAATTGAGAGCAGGATATGCTGGGACGCATAGTTCTTCTGATGAGAGAGTGTAAAAGTAGGGGTCTTCTGATGACCCTATGCAGTCCTCTGATGACTCTATGTAGTCCTCTGATGAATCTATGTAGTCCTCTGATGAATCTATGTAGTCCTCTGATGACCATATGCACTCCTTGTGGCACAAATCCTTGCGCTTGTAGTGTGGGGCATTGTTTGTCAGCTTTTTTGAAAGGTTTGAATCAAGTTGAAAGCCTCCACACTGGCCAGATTCTGAATCCATTTTTGTCAATGGCTGCAGTGTTTTCTGTGAAACTGATTGAAAAGGAGTAGATTCGGTCTGGATAGGGTGCACTTTGGTATCTAAGCCCTTCCCAGTTTTATCATCCATTTCCACAGTGAGAAGCCGATCAACTGAAAAACAATAACTGAAGTCCAAACTGCGATGTTTGTGGAGTGGCTGTTTTGCCAACCAAGAATCCCATCCTGTGTTTCTGCCAGCAGTAGGGTTCAGTGCTCCAACAGAAAGTGCTGGCCTGACCAAAGAAGCACCATCTCTGTTTCGATCAAGGATGTTTAAGCTTTGTGTGGCACAATTGGGACACCGAGATTTATCCTGATGCTCTTGTACAGAACTGCAAGAGAGATTATGTAATTGAGAGAAGCAGCCTAGAACTGAGAGAAGCAACCTAGAACTAAGGAGAAATTTGACAGAAATTAGAACTAACTGTCAGTGGAACAACTTGCCTCCAGAACTTGTAAATGCTCCAACACCGGAAGTTTTAAAGAAGAGATTGGATAACCATTTGTCTGAAATGCTATAGGGTTTCCTGCCTAAGCAGGGGGTTGGACTAGAAGACTTCCAAGGTCCCTTCTAACTCTGTTATTCTAAATGGTAATTGAATATTTTCTAAAATGGGCAATGTGCAGGAAAAGCTTTATGTTACATATTCTGAACTTTTGTGAATGTTGTGGCCACTTCAATATATTTTCAGAATTTTTCCATTAGAATACTTACTTCTTTCTAATTTAAGGCTGCTAAATGCCAATATTTAGTTTTTAATATTGAAAAAGGAAATTAAATACATGGTGAGCCATCATATTAACTATATTTCATTTTCATTAAATTGAATTGCATTCAAATAACATTAAATTTTTGTCATGAATTTGCCTTGATTGCATTTCTTTTTTCTACTGGATTCTTTACCATAAGATTCCCCTTTCAGACGCCCCCAAGTGATGCCTCCCTGTAAGAAGATCCAGAACAAAATCCAACTAATTTAGAATCTTGCCTATCTTATTGCTTAAACAAGTCCATTCAGCAACTCCTAGCATTTTTATTTTCAGAATTAGTTGTTGTTATGTCTGATCTCATGACTCCAAGTAATAACAGATACCAGGTGAATTTACTGCTGGCTGAGCTGTACCTGACGCTCAATGAAATTGGACTTCTCATTTGAAGCACTAATTCTGAAAAGGTTATGTGTGATCCATTCTCTAATTGGTAGGAACTCCTTCTTCATACTGACTCCTGGCTGCTTTCTCTTCCCCTAGTTAAGCCACAAGAATGTGGTTCTCAGCATATTACTGATCTGCTTTTGAGGAACTGAGGACTGAAAAAAATGAGAGTCTGGAAATAGACTAATATTCTCAAGATTTCATCTAGTAACCACAGCTAATAGCCACTGATATGCATGCTGTTTACCCATTTCTCTAAGGAAAATTACATAGTGATGGATGATTGGGCCAGAATCAGTTTATTTACTCTGTAGTTAAGAAATAGTTATGAGTGCAAATGTACTAGTACAAAAATAAATGACTTATGTTCATGTCTTGGTTCAGTGAGAGAGAATTGAAGAGAACTGTGAGAGAACTCAGCTCCACAATTGAAACTCGTGAGATTTACAGTGTAGAGGTTCCAATCAATTCAGTGAAACTGATTTCAGGTAAATCTTTTTAGTACTAAATTCTCCAAAGTCCTTAATTCTATCCAGATTTTGTGCTATGTTAAAGAATAATATCTATTTTACCTGTTTGATTGTTTTATACAAGACTTTTCCCTATTTGGATCCTGAGGTATATTGGCTACAGGACGGTTTATTCCGGTCTGCAAAAGATACAAAAGTTCAGGTTATGAGTCAAGATTCACTTCTTAGTCACAGCCCAAACAAAAACAGTTATCACTTATTACTTTATTAAGATTTCTCTATCAAGCAAAAGAGAGTTGCTTCTCATATCTCCTTCTGCTAGCTAATAAAGACATTTTCAGTCCCAGAAATCCTCCATCAAAGTGGCAAGATTGATGTCAGAATAAAGGAATAAAATATGGCCTTTATGCTAAAAAGCATTATCCACTACTTAGTGGATAAGTACCATGCCTGTTACTGCAGCACATGAAGATATCACCTAAAAACAGAACAATCCACAGCAATAAAACAAATTATAATTTGCTATAATTTGCAATCCAATGGATTTGGATTATCATAGGCTGACATAACTCTCCAACAAATTTAATTACTGTAACTCATTGTCTAAAACTCATATGGCTAATTAAAGACTGTTACTCACCACTATAACAACAATATAATACTTTATGAAGAAAACTAGGAAACAAATTAAAAGGGAAACTTGATCAGTTAAGAAAACCATGCTGCCAAAATGGCATAATGGCAGGACTGAAATCCAAGAGAGAAGGGGACAGGTGTCAGTCAATCTACATCCAAGCTGAAGTAATTAAGTTTTAAGTAACTAGAGAGGGCTTTTCTCATCTTGGGTGAAAATTCCAGCTGCTCATCTATTTCCTATTTTAGTGTAATGCTTCATGGCTATATCTTTGTCTTAAATAAAACATGGTGCCTTATTAAGATCACTTTTTTTAAAAAAATTTGATTTATATGCCGCCCTTCTCCGGAGACTCAGGGCGGCTTACAACGTGCTCAGCAATAGCCTTCATCCTTTTGTATATTTATACAAAGTCAGTTTATTGCCCCCACAACTGGGTCCTCAATTTACCTACCTTAGAAAGGATGGAAGGCTGAGTCAACCTTGAGCCTTGGCGAGATTCGAACCTGCAGTAATTGCAGGCAGCTGGTCTTAATAACCAGCTTAATAACAGGGTGCCTTAGACCACTGTACTACCAAGGCTCTTGTACTTTGGGTTTTCAATGTTCCCAGAATAGAGTTATGAAATTTCATTTTACCTTGATTGCTTGTTATCACACTTTAGACCAAAAGTATCCTGTTTCCCCCAAAATAAGACATCCCCTGCTAATAAACCCAATCAGGTTTTTGAGCGCATGGGAATTTTTATTTATTTATTTATTTATTTATTTAATTTGTATACCGCCCTACTCCCGAAGGACTCAGGGCGGTGAACAGCCAAGCAATAAGATACATAAATACAAAAATTTAAAAAACCAGTTAAAATCATATTAAATCATTTTTTGGCCCAGACAAATTAAAACACCCCAATAATTTAAGAACAGATTTAAAATTTATGTATTAAAAGAGGGAGGAGATTAGGCCAAGCCTGCTTGATGAAATAAAAGAGTCTTCACAGCGCGGCGGAAGGTGCGCAGATCCGGGATCCTCCGTATCTCTGGGGGGAGCTCATTCCAGACGGTAGGTGCCCCCACAGAGAAGGCTCTCCCCCTAGGGGTCGTCAGCCGACATTGTTTGGCTGACGGCACCCGGAGGAGTCCCTCTCTATGAGAGCGTACTGGCCGGTGGGAGGCTATTGGTGGTAGTAGGCGGTCCCGTAAATAACCAGGTCCTAAGCCATGGAGCGCTTTAAAGGTGGTAACCAAAACCTTGAAGCGCACCCGGAAGACCACCGGGAGCCAGTGCAGCTCGCGCAGGAGAGGTGTCACATGGGAGCGCCATGACGCTCCCATTACCACCCGCGCGGCCGCACTCTGTGCCAGTTGGAGCCTCCGGGTGCTCCTCAAGGGGAGCCCCATGTAGAGAGCATTACAATAGTCCAGGCGGGAGGTGACGAGGGCATGAGTGACTGTGCGTAACGAGTCCCGATCCAGAAAGGGACGCAACTGACGAATCAGGCGAACCTGATAAAAAATCCTCCCGGTCACGGCCGTCAAGTGCTCTTCTAAAGACAGCCGTGAATCCAGGAGGACGCCCAAGTTGCAAGCCCTCTCCGTGGGGGCCAGTGATTCGCCCCCAATAGTCAGAGATGGCGTCAACTGACTATACCGGGACGTCGGAAACCACAGCCACTCGGTCTTGGATGGGTTGAGCCTGAGCCTGTTCCTCCCCATCCAGATCCGTACGGCCTCCAGGCACCGGGACATCACTTCAAGGGCATCGTTGGGGTGATCCGGGGTGGAGATGTACAGCTGGGTGTCATCAGCGTACTGATGGTACTCCACCCCGAAACCATGGATGATCTCGCCCAGCGGCGTCACATAAATGTTGAACAGGAGAGGCGAGAGGACCGACCCTTGCGGCACCCCACATATGAGGGGCCTCGGGGTCGACCTCTGTCCCCCTGTCAACACAGACTGCGACCGGTCAGAGAGAAAGGAGGAGAACCACCGTAACACAGTGCCTCCCACTCCTAACTCTTCCAACCGGTGCAGCATGATACCATGGTCGATGGTATCAAAAGCCGCTGAGAGATCTAACAGGACCAGGACAGAGGAGCACCCCCTGTCCCGAGCCCTCCAGAGATCATCAACCAACGCGACCAATGCCGTTTCCGTGCTGTACCCGGGCCTGAAACCCGACTGGAACGGATCCAGATACGTTGTTTCATCCAGGTGCTGGGGGAGCTGTTTCACGACCACACTCTCAACAACCTTCGCCACAAAACGAAGGTTGGAGACCGGACGATAATTTACCAACATTGCCGGGTCCAGGGATGGCTTCTTGAGGAGAGGCCTCACCACCGCCTCTTTCAAGGCGGCAGGAAAGACACCCTCACCCAACGAAGCATTTATAATCCCCTGGAACCAGCCTCGTGTCACCTCCCGAGAAGCCAGCACTAACCAGGAGGGACACGGGTCCAATAAACAAGTGGTCGCGTTCAGTCTACCCAGAATCCTGTCCACATCCTCAGGGGTCACAGGATCAAACTCATCCCAGATAACATTCTCAAGACCTGCCCCTGTCCCTCCTCCTGAGACTACCCAGTCGGAGTCCAGATCTTCCCGAATCTGAGTGATTTTGTCATACAGATATTGAACAAAATCCTCGGCTCTACCCTCCAAGGGGTCCTCCCGCGCTTCCTGGTGGAGCAGGGAGCAGGTCACCCTGAACAGGGCGGCCGGGCGATTATCTGATGACGCAATAAGAGCAGCAAAATAGCTACATTTCGCTGCTTTTATCGCCACTAGGTAAGTTCTAATATGAGATCTTACCAGTGTCCAGTCCGATTCGGAACGGCTGGCCCTCCAACTGCTCTCTAGGCGTCTTTTCCGGCGCTTCAACTCCCTCAGCTCCTCGGTAAACCAAGGAGCTAAATGAGATCGGCGCCGGGTCAGAGGCCGCAAAGGCACGACCCGGTCCAGAGCTCCAGCGGCCGCCCTATCCCAGGCGGCCACTAGGTCTCCAGTCGGGGCGTGTGCCAGAGCCTCAGGGAATGGCCCAAGCTCCATCTGGAACCTGTCAGGTTCCATCAGGCGCCTGGGGCGGAACCATCTTACCGGCTCCGCCTCCCTGCGGCGGGGTGTAGCGGTTCGAAGGTCGAGACGAAGGAGAGAGTGATCCGACCATGACAAGGGCTCGGTGACTATATCCCCTATCTCAAGATCACTCAACCACTGTCCAGAGACAAAAACCAGATCCAGCGTGTTTCCCCCCGTGTGTGTGGGGCCATGAATTAACTGGGTCAGGTCCATAGCTGTCATGGAAGCCATGAACTCCCGAGCCACCTCAGACGCCTCGCCCACGGACGGTAGGTTGAAATCCCCCATGACCATAAGCCTGGGGGTATCAACCGCCACTGCGGCGATGACGTTGAGTAGCTCGGGCAGGGCTGCTGCCACGTGGCAGGGAGCCAGGTACGTGATCAGCAAACCCATCTGAACCCCATGGCCCCATCTCACGAGGAGGGATTCACAGCCGGTAGTCTGAGGGACAGTGGCCTCCCTCGGTTTCAGACCTTCCTTAATGATAACCGCTACCCCCCCGCCCCTCCCCTGTGACCTTGGCTGATGGAAGGCGAGGAAACCTGGTGGGCACATTTCAATGAGGGGAACCCCCCCTCATGGCCCAACCAGGTCTCCGTAACACCTGCCAGGTCCGCACCCCCCTCCTGAATAAGATCACAAATGAGGGGGGCTTTATTTACTACGGACCTGGCATTGCACAGCATCAGCCGAAGGCCCGGGCCCTGAGGGTCTGTGCAACCTGGAAAACGGGTGGAGCTTTGGGGGCCGGAGCACGCCATCGCTCGTAAACAGCGAGTGCGAGCTCCCCTAACACGATATGGCCCCCTGCTCCCGCCATATCTACCCCTCCCACCCACAGTATTGATATTCAAAACACTATCTGGATGAGCTCTAACCCCCCCTCGATCCCGGGCCCACCCCCCCCACCGTGCTTCACAGCCAGACCCGACCCCGACCCTCCCCCTTGTGGGTTTTCCCCCAAACCCGCAACCTGAGTTCTAATTTGACCCTCCCCCTCCCTGAGACCCCTTAAAAATTTAACTAAAAAATTTGATAAAAAAACCCTCAACCCCCTAGTTTTCACATGCCACCTCTCTGGGTCCCAAAGCCCGTCATTGAGGTGGGCCCTCGATAACGATGAGGGCCACATCTGCGAGAGGGGGGAGTCTCGCAGCGCAAGCAAATCCGCAGCCGTGTACATCTCCCAGTGCAGCGATGGAGGAAGGGAGCTTAATCAGGGGTCTCAAGATGTATCATGGGGCCATATTGTTCAATGATGTACCATTGGTATCTCTACTGTCCTCCCACGACAGTAGGAGGGTTCTGACAATTTCAGCCAATGGGAACAGCGTCCAGTCCGCCCTCTCACGGCGGGACCCTCAAAGGGTCATAGATCGAAAAGTACTTCTCCCAGTGGCGAAAGTCCTGATGTGATAAAGAACCCCTCAGCAGTTGCATCAATTAACTGACCCATGGTCAGAGGGAGATAGTTTATCAGTCAGTCAATCCGTGAGTCATGCCAGGGGCAAAGACAGAAATCCTTGGTAAGGTCTTATGCTCCAGATCGTATCCTAGTCAGTCCAGATGAAAGAGAAAAAAGAAGGGAAGGGGAAGAGGGGAAAACGGGGTGGAGAAGGGGGCGGACTCCTTCAGTCAGGGCGGATAACAGGCCCTTTATTTGGCAAACAAAGTCCCAGGAGGGGGTAGGAGGAAGGAGGTTGGTATGCATACGAAGGGGAAAAACCCCTCCATTGCCCACCAACCCTATCTTCCTCAGATTCTTCCGGGATAACAAGCTGCTTCCGAGCTCCAGCCCCCATTAGATGCCATAGGGGGCCTCCAGGTCCTCTGCAGCCACCACAGTATCTTCCAAGAAGGAGTCTCTCATCTCCGGACTCAGCAGACCGAATAAGGCCAAGCGCTTATTTCAAAAAAATATAAGACAGGGTTCAAAAAGGATCTTATTTTTGGGGAAACCCGGTAATTGCAAAGAGGATTAGGAAGAATACAGACCTGAGTGAATGTGATATTGAGCTTGAAATATAGATAAGGACTTCGCAGTATTCTTCTGGAAAAACAGTCACATTAACTTTATCTGCAATTAGAGCCGGCAGGAAGGCTTACCTCTATAACAACAGGATCAGAATGACTGGCGAATGCTTCAATCTGCCTTTGAAAGAGTTCGATCACTGCATCATAGACCAACTTATACTGACCCTGAAAAATAGCAGCCATGAGTCATGTGGAAAAATGTCACAACTGCATATTCATTTCTCTACATCACAAGTCTGGCTGTCTTAACATAAGTAAGTTCAGACAGATACATTTATGAGTTCTAGCATCTGATCTTAGGAGCACTGATTATACTTCCCAAATTGAAGTTGGGGGAATCCCTTTAAAAAGCACCTATGATTGGGTGTTGTGCTTAGATTTGGCAAGACAGAAGAGAAAATTGCAGTTCCTGCTCTGCTTCATTTCTGGGCCAGTGGCTTATATACTAGTAAAACATGAGCAGAGAATGAGGATGAGGACATAAGTTCAAGCGACGGTGGCATATCATTTTGAGAAATGATTTGCATTTGAAGGACTATATGCTGTTCAAGCAACCAGTCTGGCAAATGTCTTCATGGCACATTATCAAAGCGCATTTAAATAACTTGCACTTTTCTCTCCCTTTTTCTGAAAGCGTCAACACCTGCTTCTTTGATGTAGCCCCAAGAGGCCCCTAGTATTAAAAAAATCATTACTGTCACACACAAGATTTTCTTACAGCACAGCAACATCTTTACACGACAAATAAGTTTCTTCACTTCTTTGAGTGCTTTTAATAGAAAAAATGGTGTAAAGTATTGTACAACGCACAGTTAACTGAAACATTACTACTGCTTGGCATTGTATAAAGAAACCAAATTGTCTGGACATACCTGAGTTTGTACCACCAAAGGTCTCTGCGTGCGCATTTCCTGAATCATATTAAAAATACTGAAGTTCATTGGTAGAATCTTCAGAGGAAAAAAAAACAGAGAAGGCATTGGTCATTTGAAAGACCCAGCTATGCAATCTGTCCATTGAATACTCATTAAAGAGGGGTTTCCAACCTTGGTCTTGGTCAGAATTCCCCAAGCTAGCCTGGCTGGGGAATTCTGAGAGTTGAAGTCTGCAAGTCTTAAAGTGGCCAAGGTTGGAAACCCCTGCATTAAAGAACTTGCACTGCATATTACGGAAAGACTCACTGATAAGTCATTATCCCTGTCACAACTATTGGTCAATTTGTTGGAAAAAAAATTGATTTCTTCTGGAATAGCAGCCACATAGCAAGTAGCATGAAAATTAAATTATAACTTTAGGTATTTCCTGCCATGAATAGACAATATGGAAGCACTCACACTGTCTCTTAGCAAAGTCCAAGTATAATCAATGGCACATATCACTCCTGTTCGTCCACAGCCCGCACTGAAAGACATGACAAATTGCTAAATGAACAATGATAATAATTTATTCTCACTGTAGGTTCTTCAACCAATGTTCAGAATTCTCTGAAATCTTTTAATGTACTTCAGATCTACTATCATGTTTTCCCCAAAATAAGACCCTGTCTTATATTTTTTTGAACCCTGAAATAAATGCTTGGCCTTATTTTTGGGGAGGTCTTATTATTTTGGGGCGCATGGAGCAAGATGGGGCTCCTCTTGCCATTTTACCTGTTTTCCAGCTCTGTGTTTAAATATTTTCAGGAAAGGCTTATTTTTGGGGGGATGCTTATTTTAGCGCATGCGCTCAAAAGCCCAATTGGGCGTATTAACAGGGGATGTCTTATTTTCAGGGAAACAGGGTATTTGATTGAAAGTACCAGATATCTCTACTGAAATTTAGTTCGTATATTTTATCATCACCATCATCAAAACCTTTCTATGTAAGGGAAGGTTTCTAGCCACAACCTTAAAATGACTGTATTTGTTTATTTTTATGTAATTCAGCTTGGGCATTATAAAGGCAACGTATCACGTAAATCTGCCAAACATCTATGACTATAGCAAAGATGGCATTTCAGCTTGGGCAAATAAAGATATTACTTTGCATTTGAATTTGTTATTCAAGTTAATTGTTTTTTATTGGACCCTTAGTGATCAGCTCCAGCAACAATAGTGCCTGATGCTTCAGAGGGAAAAAAACATGGAAATCACACTGCAAACATGCAGTTGCACATAATAAACTCCTATGGAGTTTAAATTGGTATAACACATAATAACTTCTCTTTTGGACATATGATGTTGGGTCCCTATTACTCCCATGATTGAGTACTTTTAATCAATTTGCAGGGAGTTCAGGGCTTAATTTAAAAGACACATCAGCATTCCAAAAAGAAAAAACACACACACACAACCCTGAATTGTCTCTAATAGCTAATAGATCGTTTCTTCCTTCTTTTACCTGTATGTATGTATATTCATATTCAAAAAGAATTATAGAACAATTCTGCTCTCTTGAAGTTAAAACGGTTTCTGCTTTCAAGCAATTTTACCTGCAGTGTACACAGATAGGTACATCATGGTTTGCTTGGTAGCAATGCATCTCATTTATGAACTTAAAAATAGAGTTGATTGAAGATGGAACATCATGGTCTGGCCAATTTTTATAATGAAAATGGTAGACGCTTCTGATTTCCTAGAAAAGACATCCAAAACAAGGAACTTATAGGAATTAGTGTAACATGGGTGTTTCCCAATTAACTTGTCCTAACCCTTGAGGCAGATTGCAAACTGAACTTATAGGGTAAAAGAAATATTAATGTGCACCTGTACAGAATTGCTTAAACCTTTCTTATGCACCAGGAAAAAGAAATCCATCACCTTTCTGCAGGTACATGCATAGTTTCTGTTAGAATCTTGTTGGTTTTTCATATCCCTAAAACGCACCCTTTAAAGGGCATAGAGGAATCACAAAATATTCACAGAAATATATCAGAGAAAATGGTGCATTATACTTTCCCACGATAGTCTCCCAGAAAGTCAGCATATATCCTGGAGCATCCCACACTTACACTGTCATTCACTTTCACTTTCAACTTGCGAATCACATAGTCCTGTCTTTTTTCTTCCGCCTCCTGAAGAGAAGCAAACCAAAAACATATTTAAATGACATTTATTTCCGCAAAGCAGAGTTCAGCATATGAATTCCAATGGAAAACAACATACTTACACAGATAATGAAGAAAGGGCCTAACTGCAATGGGGATTCATCCACATCAACCCAGTAACGTTCACATTTTTTCTGTTGGGAAGATAAACAAGAGACTCTAGCCATCTGTTCTCTGATATTCACCCAAGTCCACAATTGGTTTTTCTTTTTAGGAAAAACAGATCTGTCTGATGTTGCTGTTCAGAGGTGAGGTGAAAAGACCTTGGGAATACCTATTGCAGAATAAGGTTGTATCTATAGCTGTAGTCTTGGCAGATTTTATTCTACTTTCTCTTTTATTCTCATAAAAGAAAACCTGTCCCATGTGCTGAACAGACGTGAGGAAAGTTTTCAGATGGATCATGCAATAAATGTGATGGTAAAAAGACTCAAGGTTAGCTTTATCTACACAAAGAAAGTGTCAGTTGTGGAAATGCAGTACATACACTCTGCAGTTCATTATAGGGACTGAATGTAAGAAATGCCATGTGGAATGAGGTCTGGGAGAGGAGCAGCTCAGACATTACTGAACCAAAATTTTCCATGCTGTGGTATGTTACCTCTTGATGTAATACCTACCTTTCCCATTTCAAATTCCATGCAAGCCATGACAATGATCTGGAGAGATTAAAAAGAAGTATCTGAATGTTATTGGGAAACTGGCACATACAAAAGCATGCTGTTGTTTAAAAAGTTCCAAACAAGATCATTTTAAGATGCAACTGAAAGCAGCATACGATTTGATATATAGCAAAAGAAGCAAAAAATGTTATTTCCAATACTGTGGTTCAAAAGTTGCCATTGTATTCAAGTATCCTTTGAAGAAAATAGGCAGTAGATATATAAGTAGGTAGTTATATTATAAATGACGAAAGATATATATATTTGGAAATAAAACAAAATTAAAAGTTCAACATATTTACTTAGTTTCCCTAAGTACTTATCATTTTTTAATTTGGAGATTTTGAAGAATTTAGAGCTGAAGTATTTTAACTCCACAATTTTACTGTAAAACATTTTAGATTGTTGATTCCAGCCTCCTTTCATTGCTGACAATCATCCATTATATATTGTCCATATATGTTACAGCCTGGAAGAAGAATAACTGCAGAATATAAACATTCCAAGAACAATATACTGTATATAAAAAAGTTCACTCCCCTGCTGTGTCTATCCATGAATGCAATTAAGAAATGAAATATTCATGGTAGCCAAGCTAGAATACAAATAATTGGAACACAGGCAACCAATCTTATCAGACAGCGATTACTACCAGATTCTCAGGTTCAGATATGAAATGATTTTGCAATCAGATATTAGACTCTGCTGTTAAACTGGTTTAATGTCTTCTGTAGATACCATTATTTCATTAAAAGGAGGTCATGCTGAATTAGGCCAACAGTGACAACCACAGAATGGTAAACAACTTGGACGTCATCCTTTGCTTTCTGAATGCAAATGCAAAGCCTCCCCTGAGAAGGAGTTTTTCTTAAAAATACCTTAATTATTTATTATATGAGGCGTGATACAAATAATCTGACAATAAAACTGGATACAGATTCAGACAAATATGTTATTTGTCCTCCTACTTATGACTATATGACTGTAACCTTGTTGCTTGTATCCTTACAATTTACCTTATTTTTCGGAGTATAAGACGCACTGGAGTATAAAACACACCTACCTTTTTTGGTAAGGAAAAGAAGAAAAAGAAATCTCCCTCTGCCTCTGAGCAATTGCAGCAAAGAGCAAACAGCCTGCTTTACTTTCATTTTTGTTTTCAGCATACCTTGATTAGTACAAGAGGAAAAAAAATCTGCTCCAGCAATTTTCTTCCTTGCAGCAAGCAGCAGAGGCCTGCGCAAAACATCTGAGAATAAAACAGCTGAGAGTTGGGAGGCCAATCCAATCAACTTGTGCTAATTAGGCTGTGCTGAAGCTGAAAGGAGCTGTTTTTTCTTGCTATTTGCTGCAAGGAGGTAACTACTGGGAGGCAGAGGCCAAAGAGTGGGGGCTAGTGGGTGGGCGGGGCTATATTCGGTGTATAAGACACACCTAAATTTTCACCCCCTTTTGGGGGGGGAGGTGCGTCTTATACTCCAAAAAATACAGTATATTGACTGTTTCCTAATATGATTTGATTGCTTATTTGTACCCTACGACTATCATTAAGTGTTGTACCTTATGATTCTTGATGAATGTATCTTTTCTTTTATGTACACTGAGAGCATATGCACCAAAGAAAATTCCTTGTGTGTCCAAACACACTTGGCCAATAAAGAATTCTATTCTGTTCTGTCTATTCTATTCTATTCTTTTAAAATTGAACAAACAATTAACAGATAGCATTGATCTACCTCTTACCAAGATTTTATATTCCCAAATCATCCTCCAGAAATCTACAACAGTTGTAGAAAGTGGACCCTGGGTAGCAATGTAGGTTCTTGGCTCATATACGCCCTAAAAAAAATGTAACATAGGCTTATGTAAATGCATTAAAAACATTCAAATCTAATCCACTTTAGAATTTTACAATATTATTGTGTTTTAAAATGAGCTGCCACACTAACTTTTTGAAGAACATTTAATGTAGGAAATTGAGTTAAATGAAAAAATAACCTGTGAAAGTATTTTTCCAAGTGGTATCACTTTAATAACAACCATCACCATTACAGTAATGGCTTCAGTTCTGTTACAGTTTTCATCATCCTCAGATGGGTATGTGATAGAGGTTCTGGTGCAAGATATCAACCAGACATTATAGCCAATGAGGAAAAGCTATGCTATAAAGCAGAATCCAACACAGACAATCTAAAATTTAGAAAATTTTAGGACTTGGATGCAGAAATTGTGTTATCCCAAACTTTCCACTTCAGATTATATGTCCACATCTTCTCTATCCAAGCCACAGCAGCAATTATAACTTGATTATAGTTACTAAGGAAAGCAAATTTTCCAACAGGCTAATTTTCACATTAGCAAGAACCTTTTAAATGAAGCAAAAGAATAGGGGCAGTGGAGTTTTACTGATACCACTTTACAACAACCATTCTGATTTTATTTTTTTATTTTGCTAAGAATCCAAAAAGTACAAACAGTAGGTTTTGGAAATATGACTGGCAAGCAAGGTGTCTAGCAATTTATTTAATTCTTCTTTTGTATGAAGTAGGGGATGTTGTTTTATTCCATACATTGCAGTAACTTTGAGACAATCATTGATTGAATGGCATTTTTTGTATTCTAGCCTTGATTAGCTAGAAGGAGAACACTGATCCCTATGTATTATTGGCATTTGGAAATCAGAAAAGCTAATGTGGGCTACAGGATGGCTTCAGCTGACAATCGATACACTATTGTGTGGAAATGTCTGCTTATTGTGGCCCATCAGCGGCCTGTGCAGATTGTAGCTGATTCCGACAACGAGGAGGCTGGTGTGGTGCTGTATCAGCAGCCTGTGCAGTCGGAGAGTGAGGAGGTTGTAGAAGATGTGGTGCCAGAGGCAGGGATTCAGCCAGGGCCTTCAGAAACTCCAGAAGCTCCTTTAAGTGAAGAGGATGAAGAGGAGGAGTCTCTTCTCAATGCACGGGTGTGCAGAGCTGCCAAAAGGCAGGAGTGGCTCCTCAGGAGGAGGTCTCTTCGAGAGTAAGGCTTGGGGCTAATTGGCCATTCCCTTAGCCTATTTAAGAAGGAATGCCGCTTGCAACAAGCTGTAGAGAACAACTTTAGTTCACTCTCCTTCGTGTCTGCAAAATTGCTTCTGGGCTTTCTGCCAACTCTAGTAAGACTGTGATTACCTTATCTTAGAATTCTGGTAGGCTGTTAAGACAATTCATTAACAGCCTTTGAATGATAAAGACTAAGTTATTTGAGTAAAATAAGCTTTGTATAGAGTTTGTGTGTGCTGCGTTCTTTGGGGTCCGTAGCTGGGCAGAACACTGCTGGAGATTAAGGAGAACATCTCTACTCTGTCATGATGTTCATGATCTCAGCCTAATAAGGGTAACAGGCAGTGCTGAAATCTGAACCTGTTTGCTACCGGTTTGCTGGCTGTGCATGCATGCCGTGCGCCAAAAGGAGGCTTGGGAAGGTAAGTAGAACAGCGAGGGGGAGGATCAGCTGTGTCGCACGGTTTAGGTTCGCTAGAAAGCAGGAAATCCTGCTTTCTAGCAAAACTAAACCATGCGGCACAGCTGATCGTCAGATTGCAGCTTTTTTTAAACTACCGGTTCAGGCGAACCGGAGCAAACCAGTAGCATGTCAACCCTGGTAACAGGATTGTCACAATGATAAAATGCACGAATCCATACTGCCTAGAAGAAAAATAAAATACAAATGCAATCACAAAATAACAATATATTAAAATCTCGTGCTAATGGGAACAGAATCTCAAAATGCTTGTTCTTTGTACCTTGATAAAATTTGCATTGATGTAATCAGAATCTTTATCTGATGTGATAAAAGAGAGCTTCACTCTGGTATGGTCATCTGAGGGAGGAGAAAGGACAAAAGAAACAACTGTTTGCTGCCTTATGTAAAAAAAAGAATCTATTACATAGAAGAATAAAGTTGCCTTTGTCCAGCACAAATTCAATTGTACAAGCATTTCAAATATATTTATTGAAGATATATAATTAACTCATTTAGAAAATTAAAAGAAGCTCCCAATCATATTTTCTAGCTGGGCCACAATTCAAGAAGCAATCTATCCAGTAGTACTACTTATACACTAAAAGAACCTGCAGTAAGACTGGCCAAACATTTCAATTTCTTCTTTTTTGTGTATTAGCAAAATGTTCCGCTTTTGGCTTCTTTAATGCTATTACTTCCCCAATAAAATTGAATGTGAAAATAAATCTTGTTTATAGATGAAATGTATCCTACATATCCTGGTTCCAAATATCTGTTTATGCAAATTGAAGATTTTTCTATTCTTGCATGGACGGAAGATAAATCTTGCATTCTGCAGCTATGGCCTATAGAAAATGGAAAGGCAATCATTTTTAAACCGTGGTCCAAATTTTAATTAAAAGGGAAATAGCAGTGACACAATGATGCCATTGGAGGGACCATCGCTGTATTATTAGGTCTGTGTTCAAAACCTGTGGAGGTATTGTTGACAATTAAGAAAATAAATGCATAAAAATAATCCCTAAATACTGAAAAGTCACACAGCTAAAAATATCAGTTTAATTTTAAATGTTAATCATATAAGTTGGTATGGCTAATGCAAAAACGGAAGTGGAGACCTTGGGTCAGTACAATAGTAGTATATATTGCCTGTTTCCTTAAAGTTCAGAGCAGGCTATGTGGAAGATATTTGAGGAAGTAGGAGGAGTTTTTGATTACAAATTTTAAAAGGGGATTCATGATTTATGACGCATGAGAACAGTGTCTCAGAGTTCTGTGTGGAAGACGTTGTTCTGGGAAATATAAAAAATCATTTAGCAGTGGCACAGATATCATGGTGTGAATGTGGTCCATACTGTGCTTATCGTGCAACTGATAGGTATGCAGGGAATGTCCAAGTTAGGAGAATACACATAGATTGCCTTGGAACCAGGAATATGTTCAGCTCATAGAAAGAACACTTTCTATTCTGGTTTACCGCAAGTAATCTATCCAATTGGGTGCAATTCTCATTTCCTGTGCTTCCTTGTTTATTTTCTTTTATTAAAATCATATCCAGCCCTTCATTTAAATCAAGGTGGCATACATAATACCCCCTCCGAATTTTGCCTCACAACTCTGTGAGAAATTTGGACTGAAAGAGAGAGTTTTTGGCCTAAATTAATCTGTCAATAAATTTCTATGGCTAAGAATGCACTAAAATCTGACCATCCCAACTCCTAGTCCTATACCAGAACTACTGCCTCATGATGAAGTATTATCTAGATAATTTTAGCAAGGAAAGTGGGGGAAATATTCCTTCTATGGATTGCTTTAATTTAGGATCCAATCTATTCACATTATATTATAGGTTACCAAGAAGTAATAGTACCCACAGGAGGGACTTCAAACTGGCATGATGGCAGATACACTACAAACAAGTACAAAAAGGGTGAAATTTGCATTGCAATGCCATATCCATCACCTGGCCTGTAATGACTACCATCATCCTTGCATGATTTCATGCTCCAAATGCACACGAACTCATTTATATATAAACTGGAACAATAAAGGCAGCATAAAAATTGTGTTAATTTGTAGCTTACATGGTAAGATGTCTTTATAACGATTTTTGCTGCTATTTTCAGGTCTCTCAGACACAGTTGTTGGGTAAATTTTCTCTGCTCTATAGGTCGCTGATTGCCGCTTCAGTTTCTGTGGTTAAATCATAAAGAGTAATTATAGAAAACCTGACAACAATATTACAGACCTACATTTCTCATTACTTCCTGACTGGCCTCTCTTGAGGTAACCACAGTAAGAACTAAACAGCCCTCATTGTTTTGCTGGGGGGCTCTTTGTCAGAATGGAAATTTTATGTGCTGATCAAGTATCCTACATATATCAGGCAAATGCATTTTTGATGTGGCTTCCTAGACGAATACGCATTAGTTGCATAGGTGTGATGTGGTGGAATAACATTTAGCTCAGGTACACTGGAAAATGTGAAAATCTTTCCTCTACACAATTGTGACTAAATGCCACTCAACATAGCATTTTTCAGCATGTACAATTAAATATATAGTAATGGCTATAGTGGCTGAGAATTCTGGAAATTGGCACCCAACACATGGAAAGTGTCAAGTTGCCAGAACTGGACTAGTCCTGGTCTAGTAGGCACTATGTTTAATAGGGGAAATACTTTTCCGAATAATTCAGAAATTATTTTCACTGCATGAATCCTTACAGCTAATTTTAATGGGATACTTTCCAGTAATAAAATAAAATTTAAGAGCAGCTTTACAATTTATAATGAATAACTGAAATGCAGTTGAACTGCATTTCCTATAAAAGCAACATGTAGAAAAGAGATGTACTCATTTCAGGTAACAAACAGATAAACCTTCCCAAACCATTTCTGCTTGTTTATTATCTTTATTGTAAGTTAAAGGTTATAATGTATCTGAGTCCCAGCACTAGATGACACCAAAGACAAAGAAAACTAGATCTCTTACTGCCATCTATAGGGCAACCTGGATTTTGCAGATCTAGTAGGCCAACCATGGGATTCTTCCAATTGATTCCACATATAATTTCAAGTGTTCTTTGGATTTTGGATTTTTAAAGAAGGAATGAAATCATAATCCTGATCTTATAAACATATGTAATATATTGTCTTTTTACAACCTCAACATTTCTCTTTACAGAATGAAAAATATTTGTATGGACCTTCGTTCTCAAGATTTATTTCTAATTTCAAACCGTATACATTTTTCCCATCAAAAGAAGTTACAGTGCTTGCACAATCTTAACTGTGCTTTAGCAATAATTATATGTTATCTCACTTCTGCATCTTTTTGTTACATTTTGCTTTACAATAATTGCTTTGTTTCCTTTCAACCCCTTGCTCTTAACTTCCTGAATTTTCATCACTGACAATTACTTCTCAAAATATTATAAAAGCAATTTGTTGATTTGGCTCTTTCCCATTAATTAAAATAAGAATGACAGTTCCTGAGTTTACATGGTACCCAAAGGCAATCAAACCAATTGAAGTCAAATCAATGAAATTTGGTGGAAAACCATTGATAAATGGAGGTATGAATTCATACAGATTTTAACTGTAAGCAAACAGCAAATTGTAGAAAATACTTAAGATACCTTAAAAAACACACTTCAAACATTTGTCCCAAGAAATCCTGGTCTTGTCTGTATATATAATAAATATATCATGTCTTCAGCTAGTTAGAGACCCACAGAAAATACAGCATGTGATTTCCGAAAGATTGTCTTCCCTACACAACTATCCCTAGGCCTAGCATGTCATATAGTCATATAGATCCTTATATAATTTTAATTACTGGGTTTTTTCTTTTTTTCATTTTACTGTTATTTGATTATGATTGTTTCTTTGATGTTTTAATGGATTGGGAACTACTCAGTAAACAGATTATTACTACTTTTTAAAAATTTGTTTGCCGCCCATCTCATTTCAAAGCAACAAAGGTACTCATACATAAATGGAATTAAGAAAAAGAACAAGAAAGACTGCCAGATTCACAATTTCTGATTAATGAATCAGTGGGGGTGATCACAGTTCAATTCAGTTCTTGCTCCTGCATTTATATCCAAAGATGTATGTAGGTCAGATCGGTCAGGAACTGAAGAACTGAAAATCACATTTTTCTCTAGACAAGACAAGTTGAGACCGATAGATGTAATGAGGAGCTCAAAGGGAGAAAATAGAAAGCCGGATGAGTCAAAAGTTTATTCAGAGATAGCTTTGCTCAATCTGATGGGAAGCACTGATTCAGAAATCTGGAAAAGTCTCAAAGATTATTTAGCCAAATTCCTTAAGTGAGACGAAAGCCTTTAAACACAAACATTGCTAACAGATTAGCCTATGCTTCTTTCAAATGAGTCTCATCATGAAATTATGCTTGTAGCAAGAAGCTAGAGACACCCAAGCTTAGTACTTTTAATAAATACAGAGGTGCACCATTTCATTATTTTCTGCAGCTAATTATTGCAGCAACCCTAGATAGAATAATAACAATCTAACAGTATTTCTGCTGAGTTTGGAACCAGGAACATTCTGCATACACACAGTGTGTTCTAACTTTTGTGGCACTGAAATAATTGTGTAACCAAACCATTAAAAACCTTCTTGAAAATGACCTTTGAAAATGCTAGAAAGAAATTTGACAGCAGGATGGTGTGCCTTCAAATATGTGCCTTTTCAAGCTTTACCTTAATTTTATATACATATAGAATTTTGTGTGTGTATATACACAGACAAACCTATAAACATACAAGTATATACTGTACATATAAAGTATATGTGCATGCACATGCACTGAATGAATGCACATGCACCCACTCCCAAGAAGGAAAGTAATTGGCTATTAGTTTCCCAGAGCAGAAAGAAAAAAGGACACAGCAGCAGAAGAATTGCTCAAGGGGAGATGTTCATAGGTGAAGTCTGAAGTGAATCCTTTTCAATCTGGACAGGGATTTCTTAAACTGGCTCAGATTTAAACTGACACCATCACAGGATAGGGGCAGCTTAAAAGTGCAGAATAGATACAGCCTAAGATGGGTTATTGGACTTCAGTTTTTAGATAGGGTTGCCAGGTCTGCTTCCAAAAAATAGTGGACAAGCGGGGGGGGGGGGGGTTTAAGTAGTAAAAAAATAAAAAAAATTTTTACAATTAAATTATATATTTTCTTACAAACATTTTAACACGCCATTTTAGGTCAGTCGACACAAGCTACAAATACATTTTAAAAATGTGAACTGTACATAATTTTATAATATATTTTTATTTTTATCTGATCATTAATTTTTTCGGAGAATCGAGTTCATTGGATATTCGATCTTTGTCTCATTCTAACTTATGAAAAAAAAGACAAAACACGATTCTCCTATCTTTATTGTCTTAGACTGTACAGCTTTAGCTTACGTACCATTTCATCATAAAGCTTTTGAATAAAAAAAATGTCCACTATTTTGTGAAAAAAAATAGTGAACATAATGTGAAAAAAGCGGACTGTCTGCTCAAATAGTGGACACCTGGCAACCCTAGTCAAACATTCCATTTTTTTAGTTAGAAGGGTCTACTTATATATGTTTGTAATTAAAGAAAGTTTGCTGATTTAAATCTTTCCAGTCGTATTGCAACCAGATCTTCAAGTTACACTGTTGTTCTAACTGACACTGCATTTATCACCTGGTTCTTTCGGTGTCATAAGCACTTACAACTTGATGTCGCCTAGAATAAATTTCTTTCTCTGAGATACAGTTTTATATGGAGATAGAAATAACGTTTATTCAAGGAGGCAGAACAGAGGGAAGAATAGTTATTGGAGAGCATTTTAATGGACAAAGTCCAGTGTTACATCTTTAAAACCACTGCGGATATTTCTTTAGTCCACTGGCCCCACCCATCTTTTTACTAGCTCTAGTGGCAGTGAACCATAACTCAGTGCAGCTGGACAGGAAAGGATTTTGCATGTGGCCTTCTAAGCAAAATGTGAATGATTTTTTTTTTCCACAGCCAGTTTGTTGTTACTATTTTATTTTATGTATAGTTAATGAACCATACATACATTTGCTTTAAGAAAAATAAGTGTTTTTATAGAGAGAAGTGGCTGAAGAAAATCCAGTCCCCCAATATGCAAGAATTAATTTTTAAAAAAATGGTTTGATGGATGCAGCTCGTAGCACAGACCTCCCCAACCAGATTGTCTTCCAACGTTGAACCCACAGTCAGCTTTAGGCCATGGCTAAGGAGGTGCTGGCCTAGAGTGCTGAATCATTCTAAAAATGCACATTGTTGTATTGAGAAGGTTGGCACCATTGAACAATGTGGTCCAGAGTGCCATATACCTTTGACTTTAAACTGGTTGAAGCTCAATTCCCTGCCAGCCCAACTATTGCTTAGAATTCTGGATGACAAACATTCATAAATACAGAGGCTATTTCATGCTGTAAAACATAATCCTAGCACAAACAAATCTTCTAAGATGCCCTCCTTAATGGACTTTCTGTGGCATGGAAGAAAATGGATGAGAATGAAAGGGGCGAATAAATGACAGACGATACCATAAAGGAGTGAACTTCACAATTAAATCCTATTTTGAAGCAGCAATAGACTATTAGAATATAAACCTGCATGCACATACTGTATCTAAACAAAATATTTTTTTCCAAATACTATACTGAATAAAATATATTAGGCTACACTTAAACAGAATGATTTGATCACCATCATTCAGCTTTCTCTGTGCTCAGGATGCCTGTCTTCTAGATTTACAAACAATGTATTTTTTGTTTTGTTTTTTTAATTTTAATCTCCCCGAGACAAAAGGATTCCACAGTACGTAGTACAAGTGCCACATAACAATTAATTAATGTCCAAAAATAGCACCTATTTCCTGTTTCAACTGCTGTTATAGCATAAAATAATGACGTTACAACTTGATGGGGAAACTGATTGCCTGAACATGTAGTATTTTCTAACTGCAACCATAAAAATGCTTCTCCCATATGGTTTAGAAGATGGCTTATATAAGTCTTCTCCCTGGTCAATCACAGCTACCTTAAATTCCCACCCAGCAAAGGCAGTATTGGCTCAAAATTCTAGGAATCACATCTGGATAAGTCAATTTTTGAGAAAACAAAGACACATAAAAGTGGCTGAAGGAAAAGGGGTTTTGGAAGATTATGGATATAGTGAGTGACAATAAGAATGCAGTTTAGAAAAGATATTTTGTGAAGTCAGTTCAGTAATAATTCTGTGTTATCTAATTCTATATATTAATAAGTTGGTATTTGAGGCACATTGCTATCATTAGTGCTGCTCAGCAATGAGGTGGATACTATACTTAAGAGTATCAATCCTTCTACACAAATCCAAATTTTCCTCCTGTACACCTAAACATAAATACACCAACTCTGTTAGTGCTGATGCAGATTTTCCATTCTATCATTCTATTTCATTTTCCATTTCCATTTCCATTCTACTTCAGAGACCAATGGAAGTGGCTACAAAATGACTCATTCAAATTTGAAATTTATCCCCTTGGTAGGCAGTTTACACATTGGTGTAAACACTGGCTTACTCATTTTCAGAAGCTACCATTTTGCCTTTATTGAGATTTCATGAACATTTTATGCCCATTTTCAGCCTGCTACCATGACACTTTTGCTTACTGCAAAGGTTGGCTTTTCTAAAGAATGTGTTTGAATATTAATATGTACCTACACAGTTATTTAAAACAAAATAAAATTAAAAAATAGAGCCAGTTTGATGTAGTGGTTAAAGCACCAGGCTAGACACTGGGAGACCGTGAGTTGTAGTCCTGCCTTAGGCATAAAACCAACTGGGTGACCTTGGGCCAGACACTCTCTCCAGTCCTACAAAGGAGGCAATATGAAAATAAAGACTTATTCAGGCAGTCTCCAAAAAAGGGACAGGATTGAATATAAGGAAAAATAAATAAAAATATGAAACTGAACTATTTGCCATTTCAAAGGCTATAATTAAAGGGGAGAAACAGAAGTAGAAAAAGAAGATGGATATTAACAGAATTTTCCAAAATTAAAACCCACCTCTGAAAACCCAGGTGAAATAATTGGGTTACCCCCATTTTGGGTAAAAATGGCTCTACTGTTTTCATTTGCAATATCTCAGATTTCTCCTGACTTGTTCCAAAACCAGAAGCTTTGCAGGAAATGATTCACCGACAAACACATACATTCTGATGATTGCAAGCAGATTCTGATGATTGCAAAAACTATTTTAATGCGAAATCTAGCAATCACCAAGAAGAAAATGCTAACCATATTTATAATAAAAATGTGATTTCAATTCTTGCACATCTTTCTACAGCTGGTAGTACATCTTAAGCTAACAGTGTCTTGCTTTGGGGTTGGGAATAATAATTGACATCTGTCATTTGTTGCTATAATAGGTCATTTTGGTTTCAGACTGTTTGTTTCTGACCTTGCCAGACCTGGTCAGCACACAATAGATCAAGAAGTATTTTTGACACTCAATATCATCTCAGTAGCCTCAAAATGTTTGAAATAATTTGGAGAAATGGATCATGTTCAATTCTGATAGTAAAAACAAACCAACCCCTGACTCTTAATTATAAATGTGTATCATTTGCATGCCTGCTTGGAAATTGTCCACTGCTATACCCATCAATCGCCAGTTTCATCCCGCAGCTAAAGTCAAATACTAGAAATAAATAACCGAACCAGAAGAAATGCCACAAAAATAAGCAAATAAAAATTTGTATTGCCTGAATAAATGAGAATAATTAATGACTGAATGGTTTTATGCTGTTCAAACTGAAAAATGGTTACCACCATTTTTTTTCCCAGCACTCTGTCCTTATCAGGCCTGGAGACATTGTAGGGCGGCAGTGAAGAGCTTTTTCCACCAAACACTTCTGGAGCATTTTCATAAAACACACTAAGAACATTTTAGTCATAACTGAGTCATCTGTGAACATTGATGATCCAAGAATACAACAACTAATGCATTATTATAGCAGATGATATTCTACCCAGCTTTCTCAAGCTAGGAATTTTTACAGTCCCTAAGTCAGTTCCTCCAAGAGATGGAGTGAGAAATACCTGCACAGCAAGTTTAAGAAACAAGGAAAACTGAATAGGCACCCAAATCACAAAAGACTGAATATAGGCTTTCTACTGCAAAGATCTGAAGGCTAAAAACAACCTCCTCCGGGCTTAACAAGTTGCAACAGGAAACCAAAAACAGAACGCAAAGATTGAGCCAATGGAAACAAGGCATGATGTCTCTGGAAGAGCATTGCAATTGACTAGTAACATTTATTAGCATCGTTGCTTTAGTGAGCCTACCTGAATGAATATGACTAAAGAAGTAAGAATGTAGGAAAGGTTTAATGAGTGTACAACTTTAATATGTACTTCAAATTCACCCACACACACACGCACACACACACACATACACAAACGTATTTATGAAAGCAAGAAATTAAAATATTAGCTTTTTTTGTACTTCGTAATTACAGATTTCTTAGTAGACACGGAACATAGGGTGACAATACACAAAGATTCTTCTGTAGAAGTGGACTATTTAATATAGCTATTGGAAACTAGATGGGTTTGTTTGCAAAAATAAAATTCTAATTTCTAGCACTCTGATATCTATCAGTGCCATGCCTAGTTTCTGTTGCAAAAATCTTTTTTTTTCTTTAGCAGTACAAAAGCAACTCTTATCAAATTAATGAAAAGATATTTATCTTTTCAAGTCATTTCTTGCCAAGTAATCTGAGACATTCTAGGGTATGGCCTTTCAAACCCAAGCATTAGTGTTCATACAAGCTAAAGTTATATTAGAATTATTATTTACATGAGGGTACAGTGCTCATGTAATCCTTGCTATCCTATGCTATCCTTCAAGAAATTACCCTTAGTGACCTGCTAAAAACTCTCATGGATTCCCAGGAACTCATCAAAACATAATTTTCAATTTATAGTATACTGGGACTCTGACAAGTTGTTATTAAATCGAAGGCTTCAATTCACAGTCATCATAGTCTTCACCTTGTGGTTATCTCTTTCCCATGTATGTTTTTTTTAATCTGACTTTGATAGTCTAAGGCTCTTTTTGATTTAGTTCTTGCTAGTCATCCTTCAAGACTATACAAACATTATTCTTAAAATTATAGTCTTCTCCTTGGGCTGCGGGTTGAGGTGGGAAGAGGTTGCTGCTGCTAACCACTGGCTCTGCTTCTGCCTCTTCACCTATTTTGAAATTTGAATCAGAAGAAGGGGCAATGTTTTCCTTCTGAACAGATGTATGGATCACACTGAAAGAGAGGAACTGAACAATAGCAGCAAGGAGGCAAATGTATTCAGGGAGAGCCCTTCCTACATGGACAGCATTTAATTGGAAGGCTCCCTACAACCTGGAGCCAACAGTGTCTGGGGCCCTCCTAAATCACTTATCAACTCAGGAGCTTCTTTATTTCTCTCCGTAAAGTGGAAAATTTATTTATTGTTTGACTTCTATAGCTGCCCATCTCAACAAGTGACTTTCCCAACCATTTTGCAATCAAGCTAGAACTATCGTTTAGTTCATACAATCCCACAAGAAAAAACGGGAAGGGTTGAGTTTGAACCTTAAAGTAATTTAAAGTTCAGGCAGTTCCCATCTGTCCCCTTCAATGCTATTTTAAATGCTTTCATAGGAAAAAAAAACACCTTACAAGCATGAATTAACGGTTTACTAAAACAACAGGGTGATCTTCTTAAAACACAGTATTAATTCTTCCTTTAAAATGAAACCATGCTTAGAAATATTGCTGCAGCTTGCTTACCAAATATTCACTGGTGAATTCTTCCTTGTTGAGGTTTCTGTTTCTGATCCTTTTCAGGTTTTTCATGATAATTTCTCTTTGATCCATGCCGTAAACCAAGATGAAGATGAACTGTCAGAAAGGAAGATGAACATGACAAATACATGCTACAATGGAAACAGCCACCAGTGTGGAGGGTTCCTGTTGGAGTCTGGTTTGCTTAGCTCATCACAAGACCAGAAGGAAGTGAGTATGAATGTAGCAGCCACAGTGGGGAACTAAAAAAAAAAAAAAATCTTTGCCAGGCCCTAGTGCCTTCAACCTTGAGAATGAAATAAATAATATATTGTTTTACAAAACGAAAAACCATCTTACTTTGGTTAAAATGAGCCTAAAGTCTCATGTTCATTTTTCTTTAAATTGAGCTTCTCACCCAACAGATCATTGAGATAGCATTCTTTCCATGAAGAGAAAAAGAAGGAAAAAATAGCTGCAAAGATATCTCAGGTCTCTGATATATGCCTTGTAATGTAGTCAGATTTCATTACTAAATCCATCTTCTTCATTTATAAGTCTGAAATACTTTTGTGCTGATAAGCAGCTTTCTCAGATTTTAAGAACATTCTTTGTACATACATTCACTTTTCTCCTCCCACCAGAAAGAGATGGCTTAGCTTTTCAAATATATTAGTCACGCCTTAGCCCTAAACTTTGCAGAAAATATTCCAAAATATTCAGACATTGCTGCCCTTTCACATGACCTAGACTGAACTTTTCAGAAAACTTCAGCAGCAGACATTTTTATGTCCAAATTTTAATTACCCAGGGATTATTATAAAATTGACTAGACAGTTCCTGGAATGCAGACTATCTGAGTGATTTTTGTTACCGTTCACTCTCCCTTCAGAAGAATGTTGATTTCAGTTTTTGGGAAACTTAAGTAAAAACAAGATTCTAAATACCTCTTCTGCCTACTTAACTTATAAAAATAGTTTGCAAGAAGAGAGTTGTGTCTCTTCCACAGGGGAGCACTGCCCCCAGCTGTTTCTTCATTGACATGTTAATGACTAACATATGGAATATCCCTTGTGGTTGGAACAAACTAGATACTCAGAATAAATTCATAAATAAGGCAAAGTTTATTTAACATTCTTCATATCACTGTATGTACCTGAACCCAAAATTTTCTGGCTTTTTTGCATCTCCGGCAGGCATGATTTTAAAAAGCCTCACGTTTTCCACATTTCCCTTATCAGATATATATTGATGGTCGTGCTCATTTGGTTCTATGAGGAAGTTATTTGGTCAATACAGCTTCAGGTTCAAAAGATTGTTTTTATTATTTACAAATATATACATGCATATGATAATGAACAGGATGTCCTGTTACATTTTTACCCTAACTGTATGATTCAGATGTTGAGAGGAGAGAGAAGTTCACGTGTTGTCTCGCTGAGAGATAGATGAGAGAAAGAGAAAAAAAGGGGAAGATGTCCAAGTGGTTTCTAGGTAAGAGTCCAATAATAGAGTTCATTGGCTGATATAGTCACATGTGATGTCTGTAAAGACTTAACCCCTTCTAGTCTCTGGTGCATCATATGCAGGCAATATCTGACATCCCTTGCCATACAAACCTAGATATATCTTTCTGCCATTGCTTAAATGGAACAAAATAGGTTTTCCTTGAAATAAAAACATCATTCTAGGCAATACATTCATTTCTTTCACATTCTTCCCAGCAGTGACAACTGTAATTTCTCCATCTTAGCATGTCCTTCTTACTTTTATTCCATGCCTTAATGAAATTGTTCTGAAATAGCATGCAATTCATATTTTATCATAGTAACATCTTTTCACTTTTTTTCTCAATCTTAAAACCATTTTTTTTGCCATGTTCTCTTTGCTCTTCCATCTTTGTGTTTTTGTTAACATCTTTGTTTTCCCATTATTAATTTTAAATCCAGCTAATGCACTAAAATCTTTTATTTTTTTTCATTGTGTATCTATTTCTTCCCAAAGGATTTTTCAGAATTTTCACCATATAATCAGCAGCACCTGTAATTTATATATGTCCGCTTTAATCATCACTTCAGCAATTCTTTATTCTTGGCTTATATTGCTATTCAATACTTTCAGAGATAAGATCAATAACAGTGGTGACTAGGGACATCCTTCTTTCTAAAACAATGTTTCATTTAACTTCCATGTGACAGATTTTCCTTTTTAGAAAGAGCCGAGGTGGGGCAGTGGTTAGAGTGCAGTACTGCAGCTACTTCAGCTGACTGCTAGTTCAGCAGATCAGCGGATCAAATCTCACCGGCTCAAGATTGACTCAGCCTTCCATCCTTCCAAGGTGGGTAAAATGAGGACCCAGATTGTTGGGGGCAATATGCTATTTAGTATACTGTCTTTGGTGTAAGCCGCCCAGAGTCCTCGGAGAGTGGGCGGCATAGAAATATGAATAATAAATAAATAAATAAGTACTAAGGACATTGGCTGTGGTCCGAAAACCAAATTCTTAGATCTCTAAAACATATCAATTCTTAAAAAAGAAATTTTGTATGTCTTTCTTATATGTCTTTAAGAAAAATAAGTATATTCTTTTGCATCAACATTTTTGTACCTCTATGCATACAGAAGCTCTAAATTGTCCATCATATATATACAAAACTTTTGGTATTTTACAATCTGTTGTTTTAATATCTTCCTCTGAACAAATTATTGCATTCCGATTTCCCAATGAACACCAAATTTCATATGGTAAACTAATTATTTTGTAAGTTCTTTGTCAAATGTTATTTTATGCTCATTTGAAGCATAAATTTCCCATTATCAGACACTTGGTCTCATGCAAAGTATTTCCACCCCCCTACATGTCTGTCATAATCATCACTCATTCTTAATTTTGGCTATAATTGGCGGTTTATATACAAAACAATTTCATTTCTCTGCTTGGTGCCCACTGAAATAAATTCTTCACCAAATTTTTGCAAATCAAATATTTTATATCCTTTTTTTTCTAATATGCATTTCTCATAAGTAAGCTATTTCTTGTTTCAATGGTTTAAAGTACTGAAATAATTCATTTTTGAGAAACATTGAGGAACATTTGCTTCATTTATATTCAATGTTAGGCATTTAAAATCTATATTTATGCCAAAAAAAGAAGAAGCATAGGATGGGGGATACTTGGCTTGTAACGATGTCTGTGTAAAAAATCTTGGAACAGTAAATGACCACAAACAGAATATGAGTCAGCCATGCATTGTAGCTGCAAATGGCAAATGAAAATGTAACCTGTTTCTACAGAAGTGTAGTTTCCAGAGAATGGGAAATAATAGTTCCACTTTAATTTTCATGCTCTCTCAGTTCTGAGCACCAGATTTTTACGAAATGTTGTAAATGCGATACCAATTCAGACAAACTACAACAGGTTCTGAAAAAGGCAGTAAGGATAGTAAGAAGGTTAGAAATTTAGCCTATGAAAAGAAATTGAGAAAATTGATGATGTTTAATTTTAAATAAAGATTATTATGGTGGTATTTTTCAAATACCGTCACGGAAGTCATTCAGTTTCCCATTCTAGAGTGCAACACACAGGCAGGTTCAGACTGACTAAAAGGAAAAAAACCGTCTATTCAGTAAGAATAGTTTGGCAGGAAGCCAATTTTCTAAAAAGTGGGCTTCCCCTTCCTGGCTAAACAGTCATGTGTCTGGGAAGTTTCTATTTGGATTCTTGGACTGAGCAAGAAGTTGGACTTATTGGCCTAAATGACTGTTTATAGGATTACAATACTACATTTTCTTTCCTTTGTTTGAGAACTGGAATTATAGTTCAAGAAGACATAAACAGTGGATAATCCTCGTTCTTCTGATTGTTTTGATTCTGATTTCTTCAAACACATTCTAGAAAATAGTTGAATTTCCTTAAGTAGCACTTAGACTTTCATACCACCTTGTAGTGTTTTAAAGCATTCTCTGGGTTCTTTACAATGTCAGCATATTGCCCCCAATCATCTGAGTCCTCAATTCATCAAGCTCAGAAGGAAGAATGATGGAACAATGATTCACAACCCCAAGTCTGTCAGAATTGAACTCCAAGCTGTGGGCAGAGTTTGCCTGCAATGCTGCATTACAACCACTGCGCTATCAGGCTTCTTAGAAGAAACATATACTTTATTTTAGCTAAGAAGTTATGCACACGCGAAGACTACTACTTTAAACAGGATCAATATATTCAACATTTCCCAAGCTGAAGCTCTGCTAGGTTGGAGTGATGGGAAGTGTAGATACTACACATGAGCAATATGGGTTATATCAGAGTAATAAATCGAGGGAAAACCATTGCCATTTGGTTCAAATGAGGTATGTTTTCAGATAAGGCATATATTACACAGCCTTGAACTTTAATAATCCATATTTCTTCTATCTTTCTTATTCTTAGGTGTTCATAACTATCTTCTTCATATGCCAATATGGTTAGTTACAGCTTTCTAACATACTTTACAATATTTTTCCTGAGATATTTTATCCTGCAAATGTTTACATATAGAGAACTGACACCAGCTAACAACCCAGGAAAATGAGATGCCGGTAATGCTCCAGTCTTCCCAGATATAGACATATCCTTTGTATGAAACAGGAATATATTAATAACTAGGACCAAGGAATTGATGATCTACTAAAACAGGAGACTGTAAATTGGTGCAATGTATTGTGTGGAATTGTGGCTGCAGGAATTATCTCATTATCAAAAGAATTATTTCATTATCTATGAAATTCTTTTTGACTAACAATTTAATTGCAGTGACAACCAAACTATTATGATTTTTTTTAATTAATTAAATTTATTTTGTTTCTTTACAGAATGGTATATAGCCTTTTCAATTCATTTGCAGTTCCATTTCCAGTTTTGAAGTAACTCTCTATTTGCTTCGAAGTTCTATTTCCTCCAAAATAGCAGATGGGTTTTTCATATTGGAACCAAGAAACTATGGGTTGTTTAAACTTCTATCAAGATGACTCTAAAAAAAAGGAAAGAAAGAAAAATATTGCTAATCAGATGAGGATGGAAGGAGCAATAAATGACCTTTCTCTAAAGTATATAGTAAAGATCCTGAATCCATTGTTATGAAACACATTGGGATTTTGATTTAAGACCTGAAGATGACATCAGTAGATGCCACTGTATTTCCCCCATTTCAGAGGGAATATCATTGCAGAAGATAAGGATATGGTCCAATCCATTAAATATGGAAGGAGCTTGCCTTGTCCCTGCCTGTCCTCAGCAATCAGCTCCTTCTGCTTGTTGTTTGGGAATTGCAGATTAGTGACATCCATGAATCAGGATATAAGAAAGGAGTCGATCATTTTGTATTAGTGCAGATTATTTTACATTTAGAAATATTTCAGTTAAAACTGAGGAATAAATTTTTAAAATAGGACACTGAAATTTTTCCATGTGGTGCTTTCAGATTGGTTGGGACTGCAACAGTCAGAATTTCTAATGAACAACTGTTGACTGTTTAATATTTTTGTTCACTGGAATTAATGGAGTAGTAATTCATGTTCCTCTGCTAGTTATTTTTTCTGTTTTCTGAGCTTTTGAAGGTTGGCCTTGAATGCAATTACCCAAGTCCTAAGTCACAGTTAAACATTAATTTAACTTACCCAACCACCTTGCCTTTCAATATAGCCTCTCACTTCAGGATTTCCGTTGATTGTTTCTGTGAGTATGTTTATCAGACCATTATCTCCATCAGTTTTATTTATAAATTTCACAAACAGCTTCACAGCAACAATTAGAAAAGCTCTTTCAGGCTCTAGCCCAGGAGTTTGACTGCTCCAATTCCTGCTGAGAGATTCTACTGCTTCTCTGAATTTCTTTATCTGTAAACATAGAGTGAATATTTCAAAAAACAAAACAAAACAAAAAAACAACAACAGGCATTTATGGTGGGAACAGCTTTGATTCACTTTAAAATTTACATCAAACATTTATCAATAGGATCAAAGATCTATTTTGTTCTACTTGTTCAACAAAATCGTTTGACAAACATAATGCTTAAGGTATTTCAATCAAAGCTTAGAATAGTCTATCTTTCACGAACTAACCAATCCCTTCTTAGAAAAAAAATGAAGATCAAGAGCTGGTGAAGAGACAAGCAAATATGAAATAAGGCTGTCAAAGCTTGACATGAGATCTTGATGGAATCATCTTCCACTCATTAATTTTAGACTGAAAGCCTAACACAAAGACACTGTCTCAAAAACAGTCAACATCATTACACTGAAAGTGAGAGGTATGGAAGTGCCAGTTTGTTTTAAAAAGTTTATATTGGGTCAAGTTCCTCTTAAGATGGGGTGACATCTACTATCTCTGCTTTTGGAATCAGCCCTGCCTAATAACAGTCAATCATTACAACAACATCCATAATAGCTTTTTTTTTTTTTTTTACATTATTCCAAAACCTTACTTTCTTTCTCAGGCTTTCCTAGGATTGATCTAGCCTTGTTGTATTGTACCCTCTGAACCTTCATTTCTGATACAAAATTCTCTGTTCGGATTTCCAGACTGAGTCTTGACCATATTTTTCTTTACCACTGTCAATGGAATAGTGCCCTCCTGGTTTTGGACTTGAGTCATTGATGTCTTGCTTTGGTTTTTATAGTACTCCTGACTAAAGCTAATCACTAGATAATAAAAATGAAAGTACAAGGATTATGGATAAAGAAATCAGAGATACAACAGCATCCTTTTTATTACTGCCTAAAATAGCAAAGGAATGAAAAATAGACAATGAAATAAGAACTGAAAGAAATAAAATAAGATGAAAGAACAGGGATAAAACTGCAGTGCCTTGAATCCTATAATTAACTATTGTTTGCTATATTAATCTGTTGATCTAAATTAGGGGTGTCAAACTCAAGCTCCTGGGGCTGGATTTGGCCTGTGGGGTGCTTAGATCTGTCTGCCCTGGAAACAGTGAAGGACTGGCCCACAATGCCTCTGCCAGCGAAAATGGGGCTCGGAAGGGTCGTGCACAGCCTTCCTGACTCCAATTTTGCAGGCAGATGGTTGCAAGAGACCATCGCAGCTGAAAACGGAGCTTGGGAACCTGTTTTCACTCGCAGAGCACTTGAGCCACCACAGGTGCCCCCGACACAAGTGACAATGAGCTTGCCATGCCCATCCTGGTCATGCCTGGCCATGTCAAACATAACTCTGATGCAGCCCTCAGTGAAATCGAGTTTGACGCCCCTGATCGAAATCGATTCCACATAGCTCTAATCACTATACTGCTCTTGAAAATGTAACACAGAATAGATGAGAAACCAGCATAAAATAAAACTTCCAGTGAAGATTCACATTCCTAGAGGAGCAGGGACAGAATTGCAATGGAGATTGGTGGTCAGATGGTATATTCTGGCTAATGAAATCTCTCTGGAAAAAGAAAAGATCATGAGATCTCTCACATGAACTTTGGACAGCTGGTTCTTGTTAGTGGAATGCAGTAGCTGAGGTTTTTGTGATTAACTTGGGAGTTGCGTGGCTGCAAATCACGGATTCAATCCAGCTTCAATATAGTCTATAATTCAGGGGTGTCAAACTGGCTGACTGTAGGCCAGATGTGTCACATGCAGGCCACACCCACCCTAGTTCTGCGAAGGGGAAAAACATTGTGAAGTGTCATGTGACGGCAATGTGACGGGGCAAGTTTGACACCCATGGATATGGGCATAAGGCTCACTGAACCTCATTTCTTAATCACTTTTGGAAATTGCTTCTTACCTGCTTTTTAGCTATTAGGAACCTTCACAATGATAAGTTTTAGGGCAATGTGTAAGGCTCTTTCAATCCTTGGTGAAAGATGTTGAAAGACTTTTTTTTTTTGAATGAAAGGAAAGAAAAGGATCACCAGAACATTGATTTTGGAAAGTTACAAGTGGACTAAGGGTTCAAATGGATTTGAAGCAGGGGTGGGTTCCACTTACCTTTACTACCGGTTCGCAACGGGAGCGCACGAATGGGTAGCTTCTGCACATGCGCAGATCACCCATGATGACGTTGTGGCAGGTGGTCGGAGCCTCCCGCCCAGTGGTGGGTTCCTCCCGGTTTGGTCGGTTTGGCCGAGCTGGTAGCAGTGACGATATGATGTCACCGAACCGGTTCTCCCCCCCACCCCCCCACCCACGTTATTCTTACCTTTTATTTGGTCCCACCCCCAATCTATTGCTGCCTCCTGAGTTACAGCTGATGACTAGAGGGAAAAAAACTGTTTAAACTCTTGCCGCGGGGCTTCAAAGGGCTGTCCTACAGCTGATCAGTGTTAAAAGCAAACAAATGAGTCGGGTCGTAAGTGCGAGGACTTAGTCATACGTGTGAGGACTTGGTCATACGTGCGAGGACCTTTCAGAAATGACTCTGACCAGCTAGCCACGCCCACCTAGTCACATGACCTCCAAGCCACACTCACAAAATAAGCCACGCCCACAGAACCGGTAGTAAAAAAATTTAGAACCCACCCCTGCTCCCACCAGTTTTACTACCGGGAGCAACCCACCAGTGATTTGAATTAAGATTTTGAAATTAATTATATGACTCATTCCCATAGAAAAGAAAGAATTTTGAATTCTTTAAGAAACAGTAGGATAATGCTTTGAAAATTGGACGCTAGAGGGAACTAGAAGGAACTAAAGATTATAATTAAAGGAGAAGAGCAATTAAATTTGACTTACTAATATAGAACAGAGCAAAATATTTTAACATTGGATGGATTGAAGAATATTTGTGAACAATGGACCAGGAGTTAATTTTAAAAATCTCTGCCATTATAGAAAGGCTATGCTTAAATGATATTATGGAAGAGGAACAAGTTTTATCAGGCAAGGCTGAGACTGATTTGAAAGGAGATTTGAAAATGATAGGCTATAAGAAAGATATGGAAAAGATGCTACACTCAATATTTATTTGTTTGTTTATATCTCACCTTTTTACTTTTAGACATAACTCAAGGTTTAATTTTATAAATAACTCAAACTAATACTCCTTTCTTCTCTTTTCCCTACAACAACAACTCTGTGAGATGAGTTGGACTGGGAGAGAATGAGTCACCCAGCTGTCTTCCATGCTTATAACACAGAACTGGAACTCACGGTCTCCTGCACCTTAACCACTAGACCAGTGATGGCTAACCTTTTTTTCCTCGGGTGCCAAAAATGTGCGCACACGCACGCACATTTCTTTTACTTTTTTACTATGTCATTTTTCTTTCTTTTCTATTTTTCTTTTTTATTTTGCCTTCTTTTCTGCACTTGGTTTTTCTTTTTATTCTTTTTTTTTAAGTTTGTAGTAGTTCATACCTTTTTAATTGTAACATTCAAAACAATTGCTATTTTTTAAATAGAGCATAAAACATATCAAACTGGAACAGATCAAAGCAGCCAATATAAAATGCTTTACATCTATGAGGCCACAAAAAAGTATTCTGGCATAATTTACACCTACATAGATAATTTCTATTAGTTAATGGTAAACTAAAACGGATGGATTTTGACCACAATGCTTAGGAAGGTAATTACCTCTTTTCTGGTTTCCTCTACAATCACTGCCTGAACTTGGCCCTCAATTTCTGCGTTGTACTGATCTCCTGTGGACTGCAGTAACTTGGCAATACCAACTGGATCAAAATTGCTTGCTGAATCACCTGCTGGTTAACAGAAAGGCAATACAGATTTACACGTTCTCTCCCTATACAAAAATATTCTAATTCAATTTCTCTTCAATTTCAATTCTAACCCTTTTGACATGTCCCATATGACATTTGACTATAAATTTCCCATATGGACATGTCCCATATAAATTTAGCTAAAGAGAATTTAAATTTGCTTATTTAAAAAAATACAGGTAATTCTCAGGTTACAACCACTTGTTCAGCAGCTATTCGAAGTTATAAAAGTGCTGAACAAGGTGGCGGGGTGGGGGTGGGGGCTGGCAACCAGTCTGTGAAGTTGCGGTTAATGCAGCATCCTTTCAGTCATGTGATCATAAATTCTGACATTCCTTACTGCTTCCCATAAGTCAGGTCATTGGGGAGCTGGCAGGAAGCTGTAAGTTGCTCCTGCTGGTTTTCCACTTGCCTCTGCCGTATAGCAGGGATCTTCAATTTTGGCAACTTTAAGCCTGGCAGACTTCAACTCCCAGAATTCTAGGAGTTGAGGTCCTCCAGGCTTAAAGTTGCCAAGGTTGGAGACTGCTGCTCTATAGCCTTTGGCAACTTCCAGTCCCCCTATGGCACCCACACACCTTCCAATGCTTCATAGTGCCTGTCCGTGAGACTCCCTCACCAACTCATAGTTCTCACTTGCTAGCCTCCTTCTCTGGGGCTCCTGTTCTATGAATTGTACGTTTATGAAGAGAAAACAAAGTTTTCTAGCTCGGAGAACAAAATGAAAAGGGAAATATCTAGAGAAAGGAAGAAGTAGAAAGCTCACTCCACTAACCTAGCTTACATAATTGGGAAAATAAAAGCAGTGGAAAAAAGTTAACAGATCTATAACACAGTTATAGACACATTACACAGGTAACATCTTGGTATGTAATGATCATAAACCTCAAAATGTCCCACAGCATACACAGACTAATTTATCTGCATCACAATTGAGACAGTCTGAGACAGAATTTGGTATCCCTCACACAATGATTTCACAGGTGATTGCATAGAATAAACTAACCTATTTGGTTTCAGTTTCAACTTTGGGGGCAATATCTTATTATTTGATTTGGGGGCTGCTTCTGCTCACTTTCATGTCTTACCACACTAACCATGATATCTGCAAAGACCATGGGCTAAATGGCCACCATTGCCCTATTACCTACGTGTGTTCCTTTTTGCAGCTATTACACAGAAGAGTAATTAGCAATAGCAATAGCATTTATTTATTTGTTCAACTTGTATGCCACCTTTCTCCGAAGACTCAAGGCAGTTTTAGACTGATATACCACTCCATATTGCTTTACAGCACTGTCTGGGCAGTTATAATGTCACCATATTGCCCCCAACAAAATGAGTCCTCACTTTATTGACCTTGAAAGGATGGAAAGCTGAGACAATCTTCTTCATGTACACATTTATTATATTTTATCGATAGAAATAAAATACAAAATAGAAAAAGTCAATCTTTAGCTCCATCAGAACGAACTCTGTGGGCTCTACCATTTAATCACTGTGCCATCAGGGCTCTTTATATATATATACACATATATACACATACATTTAAACATACACATACATATACATATACATATACATACATATATACACTTATATATACACATACACACACATATATACATACACACATATATATAATTTTATTATATATATATATATATGTATGTGTATGTGTGTGTATATATATATATATATATATATAATATTTATCTATCTATATATGTTTCATATATATTATCTTTTTAGGATTTTGAAAACTTGGCTGACTTACTCTAACAAAACCCAGTACCGACAGCATTTTTTTTTTTTTTAACTCCAAGCAAGAAGATCCAGCAGCTGGTTCTGACTTCAAAATTTGGGAAATACAAAGCCACCCTTTCCCCCTCCCCCATCACAACTTACTTTAGAAAGAAACCCTTATACCTTGTGCTCGGACTTCATTTCCAGAGTGGAGCTCCAGGCATCGATCAGCTACTTGTCCCCATGGCTCCCTTAAGCAAAGAGTAGTAAACAGGGCTTCCACAATTTGTTCTGTTTGTTCTTCAAACGTCATTGAGTTGTTCATCTTCAGGTATGTATTTCAAACTTACTTTTCTAAGAATTGCTTCTTCTGTTGTCTAGAAGAGATTGAACATAAAAAGTCTCCAGCAACTTCCTTCATTTACAGATCAGAATGAGAAACATAATTTACAAAGTAAAATTATTTATGTTTTCTGTGATATATTTGTAGTCCCACCATCACTGTTTTACGATATTGTCATCTATGATAATTATAAAACATTAATTACCAGAAGCATTCAGACTATCAAGTCCACTGATGTTTTCTCTTCTACCATTCAAGATATTCATCTGAGTAAAAGGAAGTAGAATTTGATATTTGACACCGTATGTATAACCTTTGGACACCAAGGCATTTTCACGTAGTTGTCAGAACAATAATATCTCTCATTAAGCAAATATCTATTTTTTTCAACTTTATGGATCCATCTACCAGTATATAGGCTTTATTGACAACAATGTGAAACTTAGCTGTTCCTGCCTCCCCTCGGCCCCCCAATTTGTATCCTAAGGGCAACCCAGTTGTTTCTTTATACTACCCTAACCAACTTCTAACGGGGAGTTCTCGTGCATTGCCTTTAAGGATCAGATAAGCTTGGCTCAGCACTTTATCTGCTTGAACTTCTAGATATATATTATTTTTTCCTTAAATTTATTGCCTGCCTAACTGAGTGAATATATTGTGCTTATCACAGTTGAGAAATATTATAATCCATAGTTCTTAACATAATCAGGAAATAGAGCCCTTCGCACTCTTAGGACCCCAGGCCCAGGGATATAAACAGGTCTTCAACGCCTTCTCAGCATTGCCTTCTGAGAGACATTTCCGGGGAAGCAATGGCAGATTAAAGACAACTTCACTTTTAGTGAAACCAGTAGCCAAAGTGGAAAGTGCAACCAATGAATGGATTGGCTCCCCAAATGCCTCTTTAGATGAAGGAGAAGTTTTGGGATGGTGCAGAGTGCTTTTAACAGATGTTCTCTATAACAATAGTTAATTATAATTATAATTTGGAAATTTGGAAATTTAAAAAATTAATTTTAAAATTTTAAAAAAAAGAATAATTACAATGTTGATTTTGGAAAGCTTTTAAATTTTATTTTTATTTTATTTTATTTCAAATTTATATACCGCATTTTCTCTCGAAAGACTCAGGGCAGTGTACAGCCAGATAAAAACATACAATACAAACATTAAAAAACAATTAAAAGGATATATATTAATTTGGCCCCAGTTTAAGATAACAAACCAATTAAAAATTAAAAATATGTTAAAAAATATGTTAAGCCAGCCCGGCTTGCTGGAAAAAGAAGGTTTTAAGGGCACGGCGGAAGGCACCGAGGTCTTGGATTCTTCTTATCTCTGGGGGCAGCTGATTCCAGAGGGTAGGTGCCCCCACAGAGAAGGCCCTCCCCCTGGGGGTCACCAGCCTACATTGTTTGGCTGATGGCACCCCAAGGAGGCCCTCTCTGTGGGAGGACACAGGTCGGTGGGAGGTCATCGGTAGCAGCAGGCGGTCTCAAAGATAACTAGGTCCTATGCCATGGAGCGCTTTAAAGGTGGTGACCAACACCTTGAAGCGCACCCGGAACACCACTGGGAGCCAGTGCAGCTCACACAGGAGCAGTGTTATATGGAAGCGCCAGGCGGCTCCCGTAATTACCCAAGCAGCCGCATTCTGGACCAGTTGGAGCCTCCGGGTACTCCTCAAGGGGAGCCCCATGTAGAGAGCGTTGCAGTAGTCCAGGCGCGAGGTGACGAGGGTGTGAGTGACTGTGCACAGGGAATCCCGATTCAGAATAGATATTAAACAACAGAGGAGACAGAATACAGTCCTGTCTCACCCCTCTTCGCATTTCTGCATCATTTCAGTATTTTCAGCCTAGTCTCACATTTGCTACCTGATGCCAATAGATTCTTTATGATTCTAATATCTTTGTCATCTACCTCCCACTTGTTTCACAATTTGTAATAGTTTGCTGTGTCTTATTTCATCAAATGCTTTTTCAAAATCAATGAAGCATATGTAACACTGTGACTGACATCTCTACACCCTGTGCAAGAACTTGAATGCTGAACAGGGCATCTCGTGTACCAAGATTGTTTCTGAAACCAAATTGTGTGTTACTTAGACGCTCCTCAATTTTTTTGTATATTCTTGTGTGAATTATTGTCAGGAATATTTTCAAGGAATGACTCATTAAGCTGTATTCAGTCTTTGCATTTATTTTTGGGGAGGGATTGTCACAAAAGTTGACTTTATCCGATCATTTAGTATCTTTCCTGTTTCATATATTTGATTGAAGAGCTACAGTAAAAATTTCTTCCCACTGTCTTCTAGCAATTTTAAAATTTCTACTGGAATATCATCAGGACCTGTGGCTTTCTTTGTTTTTGCTATTTTTATTGCATGTTCAACCTCCTCCATAATGATGTTTAGTCCAGTTATCCCACATCAATACCATCCCTAGTGTCCTCAAAAATTTCTTCAATATATTCTTTCCATCTTGTTAGTTTTTCATACTCATCTAAGATAATTTCCCCCTCCCTGTCATCTAAGTTGTTGGTTTTCTTTTTGTAGAGGCCTGCTGCTTCTTTCACTTTTTTGTGTAAATTGAAATTATCATGCATACATTCTTTCTCTTCTATTTCTTTGCATCCCTTTGCAAGCCACTTTTGTTTTCCCAGTCAAATTTTTCTTCTAATTGTTTTCTGCAATTTATTGTTTTTTTCTTTGTTTTCAGTTTTATAAGAGCTTCTTGCATCCACAAAATGAAGAATTTCATCCATCAACCACTCTCTCTATTTGGAGTTTGTTACCTCTTCTATTGCATTTTTAAATTTATTCCAATTCACTTCTACATCTTCATTATTCAAGTTGTTGGTTTCTCTTAAATGAATTTCTAATTCTTCTTTTATCTTATCCCCATGCCTATAACACAGAACTGGAACCCTAGTCTCCTGCACCTTAACCACTAAACCAAACATGCAAGTGAAACTGTAATGTCTTAATAATTAAGAGGGATGTACAAATCATGAACCGAAAGAGTGGTCTGCATAGCTTTCTTATAGCTAACAAAATGAAATTCAATGGTGAAAAAAGTAAGGTTGTACATTTAGGCAAGAAAAACCAAATGCACAGGTATAGTATAAGTCCGTGATGGCGAACCTGTGGCACTCATGCCACAGGTGGCATGGGTAACCATATCAGTGGGCATGCCAGTGTAGCTCTGGTGCGCATGCGCACACCGGCCAACTGATTTTCAGGCCTTCTGGGCCCACCAGAAGTAGGGAAACCGGCTATTTCCTGCCTTCAGAGGGCCTGGGGGGTGGGGAGTGAGGAAGGCCTGTTTTTCTTTCTCACCTGGCTCCAGATCCTCTCTGTGCATCTGGGGAGGGCGAAAACAGCCTTCCCCACCCTCTTGGAGGCCCTCCAGAGGCCTGAAATGGCCCATTTCCCAACTCCCTAGGAGTCTCTGGAGGCTGGGGACAGCAAAAAACATCACTTAAACATATCAAACTGGAACAGATCAAAGCAGCCAATATAAAATGCTTTACATCTATCAGACCACAAAAAAGTATTCTGGCATAATTTACATCTTCATAGATAATTACTATTAGTTAATGGTAAACTAAAATGGATGGATTTTGACCACAATGTTTAGGAAGGTAATTACCTTTTTTCTGCTTTCCTCTGCAATAACCTGTACTTGGCTCTCAATTAATTGTTCAGCACTGTACTGATCGCCTATGGACTGCAGTAACTTGGCAATACCAACTGGATCAAAATTGCTTGCATAATCACCTGGTGGTTAACAGAAGGTCAATACAGATTTACAGGTTCTCTCCCTATACAAAAATATTCTAATTTAATTTCTATTCCATTTCAATTCTAACCCTTTTGACATGTCCCATATAACATTTGCCTACATTTTAAATTTAGCTAAAGAGAATTTAAATTTGCTTATTTAAAAAAATACACGTAATTCACAGGTTGCAACCACTTGTTCAGCAGCTATTCAAAGTGCTGAAAGTGCTGAATGGGGGAAGCGGTGGGGGGACTTGCAACCAGTGCGTTAAGTTGCGGTTAATGTAGCTACCTTGCACTCATGTGATCATAAATTCTGACATTCCTTACTGGCTTTCCATAAGTGAAGTCAATGGGGGAGCTGGCAGGAAGCTCTAAGTTGCTCCTGCTGATTTTCCACTTGCCTCTGCTCTATAGCAGGGGTCTCCAACCTTGGCAACTTTAACCCTTGTGGACTTCAATTTCCAGAATTTCCCAGCCAGCAAAGTGACACCATAAAAATATGGCATCCTTCACTTAATCCTCCAAGGAAAGATTGAAGGCAAACGAGGTCCAGGCAGAAGAACATCATGGCTTCAAAACATAAGGGACTGGTTTGGAGAAAACTCAGCAGCACTTTTTCATGCAGCTGTTGACAAAAATAGGATTGCCAACTCAATTGCCAACGTCCAATGATGGATATGGCAGGAGAAGGAGAAGGAGAAGGAGAAGGAGAAGGAGAAGGAGAAGGAGAAGACTTAAAATTGCCAAGGTTGGAGAACCCTGCTCTATAGTGCCTGCGTTTGACAACTTCCCAGTCCCCCTATGGTACCCACACATTTTCCATTGCTTCATAGTGCCTGTCCATGAGACTCCCTCACCCACTCATAGTTCCTACTTGCTAGCCTCCTTCTCTGGGACTCCTGTTCTATGAATTGTAGGTCTATGAAGAGAAAACGAAGTTTTCTAGCTTGGAGAACAAAATGAAAAGAGATATATCTAGAGAAAAGAAGAAGTAGAAAGCTCACTCCACTAACCTAGCTTACATAATTGGGAAAATAAAAGCAGTGGAAGAAAGTTAACAGATATTAACACAGTTATAGATACATTACACAGATAACATCTTAGTATGTAATGATCGTAAACTTCAAAAAGTCTCACAACGTGCACAGACTAATTTATCTGCTTCACAATTGAAGCAGATGGCCTGAGACAAAATTTGGTAACCCTCACACAATGATTTCACAGGTGATTGCATAGTATAAACTGACCTATTTGGTTTCAGTTTCAACTTGGGGGCAATTCTTACATTACTATTTGATTTGGGGACTACTTCTGCTCACTTTCATGTCTTACCATACTAACCATGATATCTGCAAAGACCATGGGCTAAATGGCCCCCATTGCCCTATTACCTACATGTGTTCCTTTTTGCAGCTATTACACAGAAGAGTAATTAGCAATAGCAATAGCATTTAGACTAATATACCACTCCATAGTGCTTATAGCACTGTCTGGGCAGTTTACAATGTCA